CCCCCGTTGCCGGTCTGCGTCGCATGTGCGCCTAGGGAGGGACCGATCGATTGATCGGGGCGGACATTGGGAGGGAAAAAACAACAAAACACAAAATCGCTTCGAAGACTGAATGGATATAAGAATGGGGATAAGCGACCAGGGGTGGAAGACCCATAGCAAATGATGGGGGGGCTCAGGTGCAATTATGTGTACCTGGAGGCGGAAAACTTGGCTACGCATCACTCATTAAGACTATCCTATCACCCTTTCGTCGACATTCGGCCACAGGCCGAGAAACTTCGTCTTCATCAACTCAACAAGCCGAGTACTGTAGCTCGGTTCGAATGTCAATGAAGCCAAAATTGACGTGTAAGTCTCTGAATGCTGTAATCACGAGAGCTCTTGCACAGACCCTGGAAAACGAGACTTCAAAAACCAAAATGGTGTGTGGTGTGTGTCTCCCCCTCTCTCTATCCTTTCCTTTCGTGTGTGTTTTTCAAGAAATAGAAACGACCCCCAGAGGAGGCCCCAGAGTGTGAGAGCGAGAAAGAGAGGGGGGAGAAGAGTCCACACCTCCCCCACCCCGGGGTACGTAGCCGCCCACCGCGAAGGCTCGGGGAGCTACCCTGCAGAGAGAATTGGGGCTGGAACCGCTTAGCACGGGGTGCTTATAACGAGAGTTACCCACGGTGCCATGAGAAAGAAGCGAATATGAGAGGTATCTGAAGGAAAGTGGCACTGATGAGGGGAGTTGGGGGTGCCAAGGGGGGTGGTGTGAAGGAGGTGTTGCACACGGTGGCCACGACCGGACCTTCCATGCTGTGGCTCCGGCCTTTCCTTGCTAAGTTACCTACCTACCTTATAGTAGGTAGGTAGGTACTTTTGACCCTTGCCCCCAAATCAGGAAGGCTGCCGGGTACGTACTGTCCGACACTGCCTGACGTGGTTGGATACGTACCGATACCATGACTCCAGGCACATTGAGGCAAACCTTGGACAGCTCACCCAAGGCCTCACAGGTCCGGTACTTCAGCCCACGTACCTTTGGCAGCGTCCCGGCCAGCGACCACGAGGTGCCAAAGGTGCGCAATTCTCTTTCCCATGCCCCATGCTCCTACCTATACCCAATTCTTTCCCCCTCCCCAAACACTCCCATACACTCCTCCACCCCATTCAGCTTTCTGCACACTCCTTCCCTTTCCCTCCATCCATGCCGAACGGCCCAGGTCCCCTCGTTGAGATACTTTGCTTCGGCCCACCCCCCTCTGCCCGCTGACCTCCCGAGCTTTCTACCCTCTCTACCTCGATCCGCATCTCTCTCCTGGCCGGTATAATACTTCACCTGCGCCTCACCCTTCTGCGGCTTGCTTGACTACACCACTGTTTCTTTGTCTCCCTTCACCACTTGCCCAGCATCACAGCAACCTCCGGATCTTTCCAAAACATTACACTATACTGGTCAACAATCTCTAGCACAACTGCATCGTCAACTATCACTGCATTAATCACTAGTGGGAGTATCATCTGCTCGTCGCCAAACACACCACTACTTGATACCTCTTCTACCGGAACTAAAACACCGAGGAACTCGTCTATCCTGTCCAAAGCTCAACTCATTCACGTTGATACATGAACAATTTATCCAAAATGCACGCCCGAGATGCTACCGGCCGTCAGGTCTCGCTCTTGAACGACGAGCCTGCCATGCAATCCACGCATCAACGCCTAGACTACCGCACAGTAAATCAGGTCATCTCACAACCCTTCCACCCGGCACCGCGAAGCAATTCTTCCTCGCCTCACACCCCGGAGCTCCTCCGCTCCGACTCATACGACTCAAATGCGAGCAGCGATCCTCTTTCACCTATGACTCCCACCTCGTATGACACTTCCAGAGTGGGCGCATTTCCCGGTCAACCTATGTTGTACGACGATTACGATATGCCTGCGAAGCGCCCTGCGTATGCGAACACCAGTCGCGCAGCGTCCTATGAGGAGGACAGCTCAGCGACATCACCTTTGCCTGAACGCCCTGGCAAGAGATACCCCTGCCGCTATCGCGACAGCCATGGCTGCGAGAAAACTTTCACTACTTCAGGACATGCCTCTCGTCACTCGAAGATCCACACTGCCGAGAAAGCTGTACAATGCACTTTCCTCGGCTGCCAAAAGAAATTCACCAGAGCGGACAACATGAAGCAGCACCTCGAGACGCACTATAAGGACAAGTCTCGCTCCTCAACGTCGGCGAAGGCTTCCTCACGTCCCTCAATGGGCGGCCTGTCAGGATCGGGCCGTAGATCCTCCTCATCATCCGTCAGGGCCGCCGCTAGCAATCGTGCTTCCCGCGACCAGCCCATGTGGGACGGCGAGTCTCCCTACGGATACCCTCCCGGTCAAGCTCCTCTTCCCTCCCCCGCTGCCAATGGTGCGTGGGATATGCGAGGTCTGAACTTGCCTCTTCTCAGTCGTCCCAGTGCCGCAAGGACACCCAGCAGTGGCCTGGATGCATTGGCCATGGCTGTCGCATGTCAAGAAGGTGCATAGAGCGCTATCAGGATCAGTCCGATTGCATGTCGGCTTCTCTCTCTCTATCTCTTGGGCAGTTTCGACTTGGTTAACCCGGTGAACTCTTGCAGCTTATCCTACATAATACCCCATCATTGTCTATCATGTCCTGGCTGCATCCACATGGTCGACAATGCGGAGGACTTACGTGGAAGACGTTTCAGCGTACTTGGTGATCTATCTCTTTCATGGAGAAGACACCGTGTAACTCCCACGTTGCCTTCCTTTTTTGTTCTTTGGTTATTTTGATCTCTCTGGGCAATAGAGGGTCGCAAAGCATACGAATGGCGCACCTGCACATACCACATATACGGAAGGGACGCGAGGCAACGAAGAAAGGTTGGCGTTATATATCATGTTTGGTTTTAATTGTTTGTTTTGTTTTTTTCGAAGCTTCACTACCCCGGGAGGCGGACTTATTCTCTATACGGCGTTGGTTTCTTGACGGTTTCGTACACATACCCGAATCCTCGATTCAATCAATACCGAGGGCAGACGCATCACTGCGATTGTTTGTTTAAATACGGAAAAAAGGCTACCCCTGGCAGGGCGGGGATATATACACACGAGGTATACCCAGACAGGCTCTCTTTTGAAAGATGCGTGGACGACAGATGCTTGGGTGGACGATCTTTCTCTCACATACCACCTGGTACAGGAACGAATAGGAAGTTGAAGTCAGCTACAGCGCTGACATTACGCTTCCATTGCCTGCCGTATTGGCTCATAGCCAGCGGCAAGGTCAGAAAAATAAATACACGTTGAACAAAAAACACATTGAGTCTCACTCTTCTCACAATGACATGTGTATATACGGACTGGTATCACAGCAGAGTCAATTATCACGATGTTGATCAGAAACCGTATGGGAATCGCAAGATAGGTCGGTATTCTTGTCTCACCAAAGTGTCTCTGTGCCACGCAACCGAAAAACCAAGCCCACGATGCATTCCATCGAGACCTTTGCTATTTGAGCCACGGGGGTGTGAGACGAGAATTCCGTGGTCTCAAATCCCCAAAGCTGATCAGCTTTTGTGATCCTGGTCAGACGGTTGAGGTGAAATTCCAAAGTTTGTATTCCCGGCACAAGGACAAAATTGGACGGAAAGAGATGTGTTGAGGAGGGGCGGGCATGGTGGTTGGGGAGAAAATTCTGGAGGTCGTTCGAGAGTCGTTGACATTCACAACCATTTCGGATCCAGCTTGATCGCGATCTGGTGTTTTCTTTTTCTTCTTGTCTCTTCTCGCCGAATTATCTACACACGCAGCCAGAAGCGCATAGGCTCGCAAGACAATATAAAAATAATGCAAAAACTTACAACCTTCTCGTCCTCGGCCCGAACATCGACGAATGTCTTTCTTCTCCTCCCGTTTTCTTTTTCCTCCCCCCCAACACACACACACACACACACACACACACACACAAACACCAGCCGAAGATATGTGGCCCGACAGACCTGCCTCACCCGTTGGAATGGCGTGAATGGCACCCGGATCGGCAGTCTGTTGCCTGGAACATCGGGCTGTCGACAACGCCAGATATAACCCGCTCGCCGCTGGAATGTAAGTGAATGTCACACGCTCGTTGGTCGGTATACGCTAGATCGCAGCGCCAACGGTTATTTCCACGAGGTCAGCGGGGCGTGTGGGATGGCTAGGGCGGCGTGTGGGCGTGCTTGGCATAGCTGGTCAAGTGGTCTCGAGGGCGGCTCCAGTCGATTGATGATTTCGTCCATCTATTTGAATCTGTCTATATGGTAAACCTTTTTTTGTTCACTTTACCACTGCCTCCGGCATCTCACACCTATGTCCGTTTGTCTCAACACGAGGCTGTTGCGCCAGCCTTACACGCCAGCGGCTTTCATCATTTGAGCGAATCTGTGCGACGGCGACATCTCATCGTGATTGTTGAGAAGCCTGCGGTTAGCCCTTGATATGAGTTGGCTACGCCTGCTTCCAGAGTTCCTCCTTTTGGGTGCAGAGCCTCGCCATCTCGTACTGTTCATCTGTTTGGCAGACCAGCGTGCGGCACTTGGCTCTGTTTTTACCTACTTCCTGCACCGCCTCAACGATTTTCTTGCTGTTGAGATCGTCATCGATAGTGAAACCCAGGCAGGTACACTGCTCTACGACGCGTTTCCGCAGCTTATCGCTCTTCTCGCCGATGCCACCTGCGAAGACCAATGCATCCACATCGCCGTGAAGGGCGACAAAGTAAGAACCGACGAAGGCGCATATTCTGTCGACAAAAATTTCGAAAGCGAGTTTGTGTGTAGGCTCATCCGAAGAAGCAATGACGCCAAAATTGGTCGTTCCTGTCAGGGCCTTCCATCCGCTTTGTTTGTTGAGAATCTCTTCAGCCTCGGTAAGATGCAGCTTCGACGTTGAATTAGGGGAAAGCTTTCCGACATCGCTCGCGTAGTGGAAGACGAGACTGTGCGCATATGAGTTAGCCGGCTGTCAAAATGTCAAAAAGTGTGGCGGCTATTGGCTATAACTTACCTCGGATCTACACTCCCACTTCTCGTGGCTCCGGGCAAGCCTGCCACGGGAGTCAATCCCATGCTAGTATCCCAACTCTGACCGTTTCGGATGGCGCAAGCACTCGCACCACTCCCCAGGTGAAGAGCGATGATGTTCAGGTCTTTGATGTCTTTACCGAGGAACTCGGCGACGGATCGAGTGATGAAGGAATAGCTGACGCCATGGAACCCAAACTTTCTCAGGTGATTCTTTTTGGCAATTTCTTGGTTGATGGGGTATGTGCGGACATGCTCGGGAATGGTGGAGTGAAACTGTGTGTCAAAGCATGCAACGTTGACAGCGTCGGGCAGCTGCTCCACACACGAGTTTACGATATCAAGGGCCGGGCCGTTATGCAGCGGGGCAAGGTCGCTGAGCTCCTCTAGGTGGTGATAGGTGTCCTGGGTGATGACTTGAGAGCAAGGGTAATCGCCTCCATGCACGATGCGATGGCAGGTCAAGGCAATGTCAGCCTTTTGCTTGATCTCGGGCAGTTCCCGGTCATCGATCAGGATCTTAAGGAGCACCTTGAAAGCATCATCCTGTGTCGACACCTTGTCCTCCAGATCCTCGTTCTTCTTGACCTCGACACCGCCGCGGGTGTAAGAAACCTGAGCCGGTGGGGCCGTCAGACCACTGATAGATGTCTCTGCAATCTGGTGGGGTGACTGCTTGGCCTCGGCCAAGTAGACCGAGATTTTGACAGAGCTCGACCCCGCGTTAATAGCAAGGATAATTTCCATCTTGGTTAGGGTCCGAATGTGCGGTGGTGTATTGTAGTCAGGACGGAGAGTTCGTCTTGATAGCCGTCTGGGGCTGAGAATCGACTGCAAAAATCCGTAGGCCGATATTATATGCAACCCGCGGATGGTTCGTTCGATTCGGTCGGTGAATTTGAATCGAGTACCTGATAGCGGTGTCTAGTATCAAGCAACTGGGAACCAGTGAGTTCCGCTGGACGAGACAGTACAAGATGAGATGAGCTGAAATGGGCGAGGTTGTCGGCTTTTAAGAAGAGCATCATCAGCAGATGTCGGCGGTGGAATGGCTAAGAGCCGAAGTGGGTGGTATTGCACTGGGCGCCATGATCTGAGCTCCCTCTTGCTGCGAATGTCCGCCTTGCCCGTGTGTGGTGACATTCCATGGTCCAACTGGACTTCTGCGGGCGGGGGTTGACTGGGAGCTGGGAGCTGCGGAACCCCGCGCCGTGCCCTCTCACCCCACTAGATAGTGCAGAAGTGGATGCTCTGTGGGACCTGTCAAACCTGTCAACGCCCGGACCCGGCAACCCAAAGCGGCGGTTTCTAGCCATGCGAACAACACACCACTTTCCGAAGTTGCCTGATGCAATACACCAAGCCCAGTCATGACTGCGTGGGACCATAATCCACCATCGCGATCTTCTATGTGATGTCGTTCTTCCACTTGCTGAACCTTTGACAGGATTTCTCCGACCAAGATCCGCGCAACGGATGGCGCAGCGTGGATTGCCCCATGCACTATCATCCATCACTTGTGGATGACAGCCATGGCAGAACAAGCTAAGTCGATCCCCGAGAGAAGAAGCAATTGATGGTACTATGACCCCTCCCCTCTGGCCCTTATCTGTTCCCGGGAAATCCTAACTACTAAAACTCCTCGTGGTTCAGGAAGCCGAGTCAGACTCGTACGAATCTGGGGGCTCCACCACTGGCTCTAGTCCTCTGGAAATATCGGGGGATGGCAATTCGGATATTTGTCCAGGAAGAATTTGCGGCGATGGCAGCTCAACATGATGAGCGGGGAAAGGTATCCCGTGAAACTCGCTGTCGGAGCTGTGTGCTACGACCCAGCTTTCGAGGAATCTGAGGTAATCTGTTGCATGTAAGTCAAATGTATCTTTTCCGGTCTGAAGTGAAGGTAGAAAGGGATCTGCCGTGGTAGCAAGGAGTCTGCCATGGTCTACTAAAGAGGGTCGTGCCATACCTTCACGCTTACTGAACTGTACGCCTAAATAGCGTATATTCAGTGTGCCCGACGGGGCTCCCTCGGAACCCGATGGGCCCCCTTGAGAACCAGAACGCACGCGAGGACGCATTCGTTGTGCCAGGTTGAATCGCGAGCGGGAGCTGCTGCTATCCGGAGCGCTACTGCGTCGGCTTCCGCGTACTGTCAAGCGGACCTGGCGATGCCGATCGTCGCGGTTGCGCAGCTCGCCCTCAAAATGATGAATTTCGTATTCTCGATATTGGCGGCCACTAGCGCGGTTCGCAAGAACGGTCAGCGAGTGATAGGTCGAGTAACGGTCCCTCCAAAGCTTCAGCCTTTGTACCAGTCCCATGCCCCTTATATTGCCAAAGCCGTCCGTTCTTCCGTGCAGGTCGGACCAGACGACATCAACATCGTAGTGATCAACCAAGTCTTTCCGACGAATGTCTCCCTGGAAGCGTATAGAGCTCTCCACTGTGGTGAACTCGTACTTGACCTCCATAAGATGATCATGAACTACCACACCTTCACCGGTAGTGTACCTGACCCTGTGCGGTTCACGAAAGCTGACAAAGAGCTCGAGTTCGCAGGGATTCGTGTAGGGGCGGTGACGCGCGTGCAGAGTGTGAGGGAAAATATCGGCGGGCACATCGGACGGAACTAGACCATGGTCAGAATCATGCCACAGGCTCGGAAAATAGACACAAGTGGGCGCGGTACGGAAGTGTTCAAGAAGCTCGCTCTGGTAGCTGCACTGCCATAGTACGCGGCGCTGCTCGGAGCCGATAACCTCCCAGGGACCAAGGTAAACGGTGCGCTCGTTGGGAGTGTTTTCAAAGAGGGTTCTGGAGAAAGATGAGGGTCAGAAGGGGGCAAATACGATCAAGATGTCTGTTGACGGGAATTTGGGAAGAGGGGCTTCGGAGGGGTAAGCAGAAGAATGGTACATGGTTGCTTGATAGCCTGGAGGTCCAAGGTCTAGAGGATGGAGAGAGGCATGCGGTGCCGAGGCCTCGGAGGTCAGAGCCGATATCGTTGAAGCACCTGAAGTTGGTGTCCAGGTCGAGTCAATGGGGCTCGCGTATGGTTGTCCATAAGAAGGGGGGCGACCGAGGGAGGAAGACGTAAAGGAAGAGCCGGAGGAAGACGAGGCGGCCATGCTTGGAAGGCCTTATCCTGCTTCTTGACTCGGAGCCTTGTCAACAAATCAATAACAACCAGCGGGAAGTTGAGATGGCGATCATGGCATGTTCTTGGCGAGTTAGGAATACGGCCGATTTGTCTTGTGGTCGGGGTGCGTATGGTGTTGGGTAAGGTGAGCGCGCTGAGACCTCGGGATGGATGCATTCAAACGACGGGAAGATGCGACGGCAAGGATGTGTACGAGTGCCAATGAGTGGCTCGAGGTAACGATGGCACCGGGACGTTGCACGGGCGGCGGACGTTGCGCCTTGCGTCAATGCTCGGAAATGTTGACGAGGCGGGTGTATCGAAGACGGAGGAGAAACGAGGGGCGCCGGGGCAGTGGGCGGAAAGCAGGGCGCAAGCTGGGCAATTTTGAGATAGTACGGATAGTGGCGCCTGAGGGCAGCACGGGTTACCGTTAGAGAATGCAAACAGTCAAGCCGTTAGCAGAGTAAGTGCTAGTGCCGGGGCCGGGGCCGGTGGGGTTGTGACCTGGCGGAAGACTATGTAGCACGGCGCCGTGTAAGAGCGAAGCTTGATGTTGGTTGGAGAGTAGGTAGTAAGATGGTCGAGGCAAACAAAGAAGCGGCATCCGAAAGTCAAGCGAGCATGGTGGAGGACCCAACGGACGGAGCGGGGTCGCAATATGGTGGTAGTGAGGGCCGGGTGCGGAGTCAAATCGCAGACGAGCCCGAGGGGTCTGTTGGCAAATGGACTGGGCTCGAAGGTGCCTGAGGGATTCGCACAGCAGGCGAGCAGAGCGGGCAGGGTGGAAGGACATTCGGAACAGTAGTGATTGATGCAGCGATACCGTAAGGTGGTGAGTGGGTAAATACTCCAGGGCCCCGGGTGCGGACGAGGATCCGAGGACCTGGTTGGTACCGGTGGCTAAATCTGCCAACGGTCGTACCGTCGTTCTCGCCGGCAAAGTGTCTGTCTCATATGGAAATGCAATACGGATTACGGAGTATTTGGCCCTTGTGAGGGATAGGAGTAGGCGCAGAGATACGGTACCTTCCAAGGTATCTATCTATCTGTAAGGTAAAGTACCTTGGTGTACGAACGGGAGGTTCCTTATTACCTTAGCACGAGAGGGATGGAATAGAGTAGGGTACCAACAGTGTCCGCCGCCGCCAGGCTGGATCGGCCAATGACAGCGCCCGCAGCGAAGGCATGTTCGAGTGACTGGCACTGGGTCTCCCTCCGTGCTTCTCAGCTCCGTGCCCACCTGCAAGTGCCATGTACCTGTTCTCGTCTGTTCCTGCTGCCACGATGCTAGCTACCAGTACCTATAGGCTGCGCACCTGTTCTCCACGATGGATCCATTTACGGGCGTAACGGGTCGAGCCTTTGCATTCGATTGACACATGCGACAGGAGCCTGACGATGTTTGGCAGGTGAAGTGTGTTGGGATCACGCTGTTAAGCTAAGCAATACAAGTGGTGCACAGCTCCGGGATGCGACGTACTGCAAGGTTAATTAAGAGTGAGACCAGTCTGAGAAACATGGTTGACAATCGGAGTCCCAATAGCCCGAAGACATGGCGAGTCCTGTTTAATGTCATCTTATAGTGAGGCGGGCTCACATAAATATTGGCTATTGACAGCCTCTGGACGAGTACGGCCGTCTTGGTTGGTTGATTGACCCGTAGGGTCGTCATTGTCAAGTTGCTTACCTACCTTGATTGAGCACTGGGGATCTAACATGCAAGACTGCACCAAGGTAGGTAGCCCTGTACCTCAACTTCAGATTGGACACCCAGAAACCAAGCTTGCCATTTTCTAGGTAGGTACCTACCTGAAGTCCCTCCAACGCTTGGCAACCCTCGGCCAGCCTGCCCTGCGCTTAGCGTCCTGCCCTGTCAATCTTGCCTGCCTTATCTGCCTTGTTACTCGAGGTTCTTCACTCTCTTTTCATTTCATCACCTCGGAACTGAGTTGATTGATACCGGGTGTTCCTTCTGGCCCACTTCTCATTCTCTCGGCATTTTCATTCATGAATCTTTTCCCACCTCTTTCCCCCCTTCACCTGCAACCAAACAATGGCCTTTGTCAACTGCCACTGAGAATATCCTTGCTTGTAGATGGGCCCCGCTGGCTGCGACCCATTCTTCCATCTCGCCAATCCGACTATCCGACCTTTCCTGCGTCTAAGCATAACACGCACTGCTGCTGTGTGAACCTGTCTCGCCTCATACCTTGGTAGCGCGGCGCTTTTTAGTTCAAGGGTCCATGTGGGTTGCATCCCCTGCCTATTCACGCGTATCACCAGTCTCACTCGACGAAGCCGTGTCTCCCAATTCTCATCCGCCCATCGTAAATAGTGATTCGAGTCCGAGTGAGTCGAGCGGCAGACATGTCGGCCTTGCCCGACCCTCTAGTGAGAAGAAATCGGGGCTATCTGGGAAGTGATAGCTCCGCCTTGTCTGCCCGCGATATTCAGGTACGTCCATGCCTCCGTCCCATCTTGGGTTTCCTGTTCCGTATCACGGCTCTGCTCTGTGCGCCGCTGTTACCCTCAAGCCTCGTCCCACCCCTTTGACAGCTACTTCAATCTTTCATCTCATCTCGCACCAGGCATTGGCTCATCATTCTTCCAGGACCGCAGTCAATTGCGTTATGAGCTCGACCTCAACTCATGGAACTTGAGGATCTGGGGTGTGGCTGCCTCGGGGTTTCTGACAGATTCGTGAGCACTCCTTTCAACGCTCTCCCTCTAACTGCAGTTCTTCATCGCCTGTAGACTGACTCCATGCTGTAGCTACAACCTCTTTTCCACAAATGTCATCCTTGCCTCAATAGCGTTTGTATACTGGCCTTCGCCCGGCGAAAGATGGCAAGGGTTGCTCATCAACTTCTTCACTCTGTTGGGTTCTGTGATTGGACAATTGCTTTTTGGTTTCCTTGCCGACTTTTATGGACGAACCCGTCTCTATGGCATCGAGCTCGTGCTCGTCGTCGTGTCGACGATTGGTGTTGCCACCAGTAGCTACGGTTTCGATGACATGAGCTTTTTGGGTCTGTTCATCTGGGTGAGTTACCGTTCCTGGTTCTACTTCCTCTCTGCCGCCATAAAGCCTTGTCAACTGACATATAGAAATCTCGCAGTGGCGTTTCGTAATGGGTATCGGTTAGTAACCATATTGAGACTCTGTTTCGTCCATTTTACCAATTCGAATGACAATGTCTGACACAAAAGCAAAGGCATCGGTGCCGAGTATCCCCTCAGCGCAGTCATTACCTCGGAGTGGTCAAGCACGCAGTCACGGGGAACCATGATCTCTTCTGTCAGTCAGCGAGTAAATTTGGCAATTCAACGACTCACAAGACTAATGAGACCATGTCAGACATTCATGATGCAGCCAATAGGCCAAGCCCTTGCCCAACTTGTCGGCCTTTGGGTTCTTGTCGGTCGTGACAGGAGCGAGGGCCTACAAGCCATGCAGTGTGGCCTCGATACGAAGTTTGATAGGGAATGTCGCCGCGCCGTGGATGGCATTTGGCGCATCGTCATCGGGTCTGGCGCCGTACCCGCCCTCCTAGCCATCATCTTTCGATTCTTTCTGTTCGATTGTGGACTGTACAGCCTCGAGGTCAGAAACAAGCCCGGTATAGCCTTGAGAAACACGCAGAGAGTTTACGGCGCTCCTGCTGGCGCGACAGCAGGCTACCCCATGACCCCACAAGATGGGATGCATGCCACCAACTCGCAGCAACCTATGCCCATTCAGTTCTCCAAGCAAGATTTGCACAAGTATTTTATCGAGGATGGAAATTGGTACTACTTGCTAGGTAAGCTCCTCGCTCAATGTTGCACGGTTCGTGTTGCGAGGCATTGGGTCAGGTGTTGCAAGTTATCACAGCGGCCTCATGTGCCCAATGATCAGCATAAACTGATCACAACATAGGCACCGCTGCGACGTGGTTTTTCCTCGATGTAAGCTTTTACGGTCTCAGTCTCGATAATAGAGGTACACTTTCGGATATGTGGGCGACCACGGGACCGACGCCCATCGATGATCGGCTTCCATGTTGGAACTCCAAGTTCCCTGACGGAAACGCAACCGCAAGGCTATGGAGCCAGACAGGCCTTCCAGTCTGGCAGACGGACGCAACTCTACCTTGCAACACCATTTACGACGTGCTTCTGGAACAGGCTAAACAATATTTGTTGACCGTATCCATCGCCTCTATCGCCGGCAGTGCGTGTTTCGTCGTTGCTGCCAACAGGATTCCCAGGAGGTTGTGGCTAACTGTCTCCTTCTTCGTTCTCGCTATACTATTTGTAATTACGGGCTGTGTATACTATGGTGTTCACAGAACCGCGGGAGCGCCGGCCACAGTTGTGTTTGTGGCGTTATGCCACTTCATGTTCAACTTTGGTAAGTGTTGTGTCTGCCTGTGTACGTTCTGGCTGCTACCAGCTAACAACATCTCAGGGGCAAACACCTTGACGTTCATCATCCCAGCCGAGATCTTCCCAACCTCTTACCGCTGCACTTGCCACGGCATCTCCGCCGCCGCCGGCAAGCTGGGCAGCATCGTGGCACTCCTCGTCGTGTACGGCATCAACTCGTCGTACACCGCCGTCAACCGACAGGGCCTCATCTTTCTCCTCTTTGGCTCGTTCGTGGCCGTTGGCGCCGTCTTCTCCTGGGCCTATCTGCCCGACTCGCAGCGGTGGGTCATTGACGAGAACGGACGTCGCGTGCTGGAGCAGAAGACGCTCGAGGAACTAGGCGAAGGGCGTGAGAGGGCGAGGCAACTGGGAGAAGTGATTACTGTCAAGGAGAAGTGGCACGATTTGAAGAGGAGGAGGGCGTCGCCGTCGCCATCGTAAGCAACGAATCCATGAAATTTCTTCGTACAGTACCCAAGGATAAAGTTACCCGGCAGGATAAGCTGAATAATTTGTTTCATCGAGGGCCATGGGGGCCTGAAACCCCCCATTCCCGGCCAATATAGAGATATATGCTCATTGTGGTCTGTTCGGTCACTGTGCCTCATCCTTTCCATAACCATTTTCACGCTGCTACGCACCCGCCGAACCATCTATTTCCATAGATGATTACATATTCAATTGGCCATCCGGATCAAGAGACACTTGCAAGAACTCTACAGTCTCAGCATACACAGCCTTCCCGCTCGTCGTGGCCTGTACATGCACGTTATTCTCGAGGGCATCGAGCCACTTGGCCCACCTCAAGCCCGGCGCCGGCGCCGGCCACCCGCATAGCGGCTGCAGGACGCGAGAGAGGCGGACGGCAAACGGCGCGAAGTGGACGTCGACGAGCGACATGGTGTTGCCGAGGAAGAAGGGCCCCTGCTCGTCGGCAGCAAGTACCAGGTACTTGATGGCGTCTTGGAGCCGCTCGATGTACTGCGGTTGCAGGGCCGGGTCCGGGTTGCGGAGGAGGCGGTAGAATGCTGGAGCGAGGCGGAGATTTATCTAGTCTCGTGTTAATCTTGATGAATATTCTGGGGGAGAAGAAACGTCATGACGAACGTGGCCTATCCATTGTCGACAATTTGCGCGGAGCTTGACGTCGGATGGAAAGAGTGGAATGGTACTGTCCATGTCTTCGAGCTATTGCAGGCAGGCAAACGATGTTAAAAAAGAGAATCCCCATGAGGCATGTACAATCGAGGAGTGAACTGACATATTCCAATATTACACCACTGTCGGCACAAGCCCAATCGCCTTGCCTTATAGCAGGAACAGTTCCCCTGGCGTTTGCTTCCAGCAGCAGTTGCGAGGCTGCCACTTTGTATGGGTCTTCTTCGCAGTACTGGTAAGCCAGACCCTTTGCTTCGAGGGCGATCCAGACGCTTTGAGAAAACGGACTGCCGGGGTGTGGAGGTCAGCGAGGCAAGACTTTTTCAGCCAAAAGTCTGCGAGAAGAACGAACCAGTAACAAGCCGAATACAGCTTCAAGTCGCTCTCTTTCTCATGCTTCTTGATGGTCCAATGAGCTCGGCCTGTTGCCTTTCTGGGCCCATCGTTCTACAATAATCATGTGCAGCGTCAGCTTCTCGGAGGCAGAATCAATCTCACTAGAAGCACGATCTAACTCACCTTGGCGGCGTCAGTCTTATTCTTGGCGAGATATCTCTGGACACTATTCTTCTTCACCTCATCGCTCTTGGCGAGGGTATGTTGGTGCGGTCCAGGGATACCACTGATGCTGATATGACCATTCACTCGCTGGATCGTCCAAAACTTTTGCCCCGGCGCCGGGAGGTTATTCGGCGTAGCGGGCGCGACCCGCAGCTCCCTCTCGCCCGGCGGCGCGAGCACAGTATGCGCTCCGTTGAGCGCCTGGCCGCCGTTCAGAGGCACGTAGGTCCCGTCATCGACATCGTGCAGGGTGGCGCCGGGGAAATACTCTGTGATCTTGATCTTGACGTCGCACAAGTTGAGCTTGCGTGAGACGCGGTTGCGGCGCTTCTTGTTGGGGTCGTCGGACTTCTTGGTGCCCGGCGGGCGGCCTTTGAGGCGGCAGTCCCAGTAGTGAGAGATAAAGGGCTTCCTTTTGTAATTCTGGGTGGAACGGTGGGAGTAAATGTTGTCTATGTGCGGGAAGTAGGTCTCGAATCTTGACATGGTATTAGAAAATGTGGGGTGAACGGTGTCTTGCTGGTGAGAAGAGGATAACGGACTGCTCATGAGTGAGGATGATTAGGCCATCTGCTTCAAACAGTTTCTGCCGCCACTCCTCGAGATTGGGAGGGTCGAGGACCCATTTCGTGCTCAGAAGACTACCATGCGGTCTCCAACCTGGGGCGGTAGTACCGTCGATGGGGATGAACCCGCCTGGCCCAACGAGAGACTCGCCCGTCTCAGCCGGAATCGCCTCTGGCATCGCAGGGCCCGGTGTCAAAATGCCGAACTGACCATGCTGGCCCGATGGTGGCGGCTCCATTGCCGGGCCGTGACCCGGCTGGTGCGGATGAGCTGACGGGCCCATCGGCCCAACAACAACACCACCACCAGGTACTACAGCATGCCGATGTTCGATTTGCCCTTCTACAGCAGAGGGTATATGAACATCCTGGTCTCGCGAGAGCTCGGGATGAAACATCGGTTGGTGGGTCTCCATACCAGACATGTCGATGGAAGACCCGGCGTTATGGCCGGAGCCGGGACGGAAGTGGGTTACGGCACCGGCATGGGCACTGGCACCGACAGCAAAGGGCGGAGGCGGCGGTGGCTGCCGCTGGGCAGAGTGGAGACTGTGCGGAGGGATAGTCTCGCCCCTGCTGGCTGGACAGACTTCAAACGGTGAGGACAGACCTGCTGGCATTTGCCGAACACGGTCGGTGGTAGAGATGCGGGTGTTGCTGCTTTAATACGTCGTGCTTTCCTCAACGCCGCAGTGGTTGGGGAAAAGTGGATGATTTAGTGCTGCTGGACGTTTGGGTGGTTTTACCTTGGCAACTTGCGGCCGGCCGGGGTGCGGCAAGGCGGCAACTGGTGCACGGACCTATAGCGCTTTGGCCATCAGACGCAGTCATCCAGGACTGCCTGCCACAGACAGCCCTCCTTTCGACAAGTAATTACAATTACTCTCTGTACCCGAGATGGTATGAGAGTGACTCGATTTCACGCTGAGAGACACATATCAAGCATTGAATAGTGAAAGTCGTGTTCATGGGAGTCGTGTGGTTTATTCATGAATTCCTACAGTTATTGAAGATCGACGCTCTCAAATGTTTGTTTGCGCACCTCTTTCTGTACCTTCAGTTCCGTGTTATACACATTCAAACCCGTCGAATGCCATTCGACAAAGTCCGTGACTAAGTGCCGTATTTGAAACATGAGATTATCCCAGATGGCTTCTCGGCCGTCAACTCCTTACTCCATAACCTGCCAGGTAATAAGTATCAATCGCTCAGTTTGTCGCATCCCACGAGGAAAGGTCCATCGCGTCCATTGGCCCCATGTTCATTAGTGATCGAAGTACGCCCTCGGCAACAGGCGTCATGCCCGTTTGTCCCTGCAAGTCTCCCCAACCGTTCGACATTCCGAAATCCGCTCCGGGTGTTTCAGGCATCGAAAACCTTTGGTTTGGCGTAAGTCCGGTGCGGATGCCGAAAGAGCCTGCGTCATTGAAAAAGCTGGCATTTACGTCTGCACTACCTCGCGGGTTGGTATTCGGTTGTGCCGTGGCCGAATTGGCGTCGAACGAGTTTCTCCCAGACCCATCGAGCCCGACTGCTATACCCACCCGCGGGTCCGAGGAAGTCGAGTTTGGTGTTGGCCGGTTGGACTGGTCACCGTCTGGTGATCCGGATATGTTGTTGTCGCCACTACTTTCACTCTGTCCGAACCCAGTGATACGCCCACTGCTTGACCCAGACTTGTCGTACATGGATCCAGAGCTTGGCGTCAATGAACTTCCATGCATTGGGAGGTTATTGGTACCGTTTGCACCATACGGCATGGCCTGCTCTGCAGACAACCAGCCCTGACCACCGAATCCAGTCGAGGCAGAGGTTGGGGCGGCTTCGTTATTCTGGCCAGGTTCAACGATATTCGGCGCACTGGCAGCGTTTCCGTCGTCACCCACAGTCTTCATGAAGTGGCACTCGTTACGATAGGACATGATACCCTGAACACCTTCTGGATCATCACACACGGGACCCTTGACGCCTCCGTTGCCGCTGTTCGAGCCGGGCTATTAAGCGGTTAGCAAACGGAAGGCCACTACTAGGATAATTACTCACGCTTTCACCGCTACGGGGAAATGCCGTCTTGAGTTTAGGTATCCTCATCGCAAGGGCTTCCAGATCGACGTCGAGCTGCACCAGGAATGACTCTGTGAGAGGATTCCTTCTCTTAAGTGCGTTCATGGCTGAGAGAAGGAACCTGAGCGAGTCGGCTGTTTGACTATCGTCCGGACGACTCTTGAGGTATTGAACAAATACCCTTGCTGCAACGTAAAGACAGAAGGATATAAAGGGGTTCATCTAAGACATGTCAGTGCCTAGGCTATTGTGGATCCCTTACTGAACTTACCGCTGAAAGGTCCATGTGTGAGATCATTCTCATGATGCTCGCGATCTCGTTCGCCGCTGTGATGCAGCGCACCTTGCTTTCTGCACTGACTGAGGCCGGAAGCTTGTTCTTGTCTGCCTTGAAAATAGCGGCTTGATGAAGACAAATTGTCGACGTGTGGATGCTCATGTTGGTAAACACAATGTTGGGGTTGCCCAGACCAATGGGAAGCTTAAGGTGTGACGGCAAGCAGAGAGAAGTGTTGAGCAGTATGTTATCCATGTTGCGGTGTCGCTTCCAGAACTCGCCGTTGAGATCGTGGTCTCGGTCATCAGGATCAGGTCGGTGCAAGTGGATCAGGTTCCGGCCAAAGAGGCATGCCATCAGCACGATGCCTCCAAAAGAGGAGAGTTTGCCAGCTCCAGACGGACTCATGCAGTCTTGCAGAGACTGCGTCTGCTCAGGTCGGCTCATGTCGAAAGACTCCTCTGTACATGGTAGGTTTGTCATGATATCCTTTTCGTCCACCGTCATCGGCCACCCGGTGCCAATACTCGCATAGCGATCTTCGCAGAATGCCATCCAAAAGGTACGTCGCCTCTCCTCGCGCTCAGTCCAGTCCCTTGGCTGAGGGAGGCACTGCTTGACGTCCAATCCGGCCCCATCAAGTCGATGTAGGCCAATCCTGAGCACAAGTCAGCTATGAAGATCTGGATAGGAAGCATCATGTGCTCACATTTGACACAGGCGTATAGCAGAACCTGTGCTCATCCAAGCCCTCGGGAAGTACATCATCTTAAATTCGTACGAGGCAAGCAGCACATGGGTCTGAGCATGGGCTACAGATATCATGTGTTCGCCGTAGCCTTTGATGTAATCTGCCTCGACATACTTACGGGCTCTTTGGTAAAACAAGTCTTTGAGGTCGAGGTATTTTTCAGTAATTGAGCATGACAAGGTCCATATGGCATATCGAAGCGCAACGGGTGGACGTTGGTTTGGGGCCCTGTCAATCGTGTCAGTGTGCCTTTTCTTGGACATAGCCGCACTCAAGATTACTAGCAGTATGGGTTCCCTACAAGTTCATGGCTGCCAGGTATCTATATTTGTGAATCATAGGTACGGACGGATGAACCTTTTCAAAGTAAATTTGGTGGCTGCGAAACACTCGTCAGTACTATAGCCCGCAGAGGATACTCCCATGTTACTGACAGCTCGTCAATGGTTTCCTGAGGAGGAAGAGGTTCTTCGAGGCCCAATCCAATCATTTCCCAGGTAAAGTTACTTCCGGCGTTGCCCATGCCCATTGACATGTTGGAGTTGAAGTTGAAATCGTCCATTGGAGGAGCAGCCGCATTCTGAGCCTGAGGAGACTCGCCATTGAAGCGCCATCGGTCAATGTCATGATCGGCGCCGAGACCAAGGGTGGAATTGGGAATACTATAGCTGGTGGGGGCAGCGGTGGTTCGGCTATGATTCGCGGCGGTTGCGTCCAAGTTGTGAGATATGTTGGAGGAGGGGTTGGCTGGCACAGCGGGAGGGTCTTGGGTCTTGAGCAAGGTCTCGACTTGTTCTACAAAGGATGCAAACACGTTCAGTCAGTCAAGATGAGGGACAGGAACACAATAGATGAGCAAGACATGGGACAGAGAGGGCAAAGTTCAAGGAGAGCAAGGCGCAAAGACGGGAGTGCTCACTCAGTCGTTCCTCTAGAGCCTTGACATATCCTCGCTTGGGACCGCTTTTCCTGCGAACCTCGTCGTAGGCACAAGAATGGCCTAGCCTGGCGCAAGTGCTGCAACTGGGCCGCACTCCGTCACACTTCAACTTGCGCTTCCGGCATATCATACATGCCAGGCGCTTCGGCTTGGGAACGTTACTGTTGTCGGCGGCCCCTTCTCGGCCATTGGAGTCGGCGTCTGGGCTGTGAGGGCGTTTGTGGGAGCTGGCGCCATTTGTATCTGGCGGCGTGGGGGTACTTGAAGACATGACGAGGGCAAAGTCTGAATGAATCCAATTATGATTTCAGTATTTGCGGATCGGATAGTTAGGCGATCCGAAGAGTGATCGTGGGCGAAAGGCGGAGGGTTCTCTTATCGGAGGGGGGAACTGAAAGGAGAGAGGCCTTCAATCCATAGGCGCGCGCGCACAATCACCGCCGTTGCTGACTGTCGTGTTTCGTGCTGATCGGTGTCGCAACAGGGGCGATCCGAAATGGGGTTGACGTCGAGCGAAAGGGCTCTGAATACGGCTTATGGTGTTGCAGACAATGCCAAGTCCAAAGGGGAAGAGGCAAAGGGCATCGACGACTGGTAGGGTAGGTAGAGGTGAAAGAGCGAAGAGGCCGGGCGGAGAACGGGTTATCGGTAGGTCGTCGTCGGGGCGGTGGAGAGGAGGGTGGAGGGTACCTAGGCGTGCCAGGGTAGAGAAGAAAGTGGAGGAGAGACCTTTGGAGACGGGGAGACGCAGTCGTCGGGTTTGTCAAGAGAGCGACCGGGAGATTTGGGGTTGTGCAGGTAGTCGACGTGACCAGCTGCCAGCTGCGTTGTAGGTTACAACAATTAGTGAGGGAGTGCCGGGCAGTCATTCTGCGAGAGTGCGGTAGCGGCACGGCCTTACTATGTATGATGAACAGGTACCTTTCATTGCTTTAAAGTATCGATATCTGGCCCCCAGCGTCATGCACTGCTGCGTATCCATCTACCTAGCACGGTAGATGGCCCGCGGAAGCCACAACAGACGCGCTACCTTGCTTTGGCCTACGTACATAGTAGTACCTTACCTCGAGGCCTGAGGTAGACATAGCAGTGAATGCCAACCACGACAAATCAGGTATGGAGACACCCAGAAACCCTCCATGTATCCGTACGACTAGGTACTCATACCTCCTCCGTACACATGCGCGCAGTGGACAGTGCAGAATATCTCGAATGGATCCCGGCGACCAAGGTCGTTCAGCGTCTCTCATTTAACTTACCACTGACTTCCAACTTCAATTTCACATCTCCCATCGCGTTTCCACTCGTAGCTACGGGGCGGAGTAGGGATGCAAGCCTGTCAGCCATGTGCTGCTTTGGTCTTGGTATCTGGGTATAATTGCCCAATATCATCCGTTTATCGCCATGTCTCCGATCATTTGTTACCTGGAAGCTAATTTTTTTTCACGCAGCTAAGAAACAAACTTTATTTGTGAGAGCATTATTAACAATTCACTCGCTTTTCCCCCTTCCTACCTTTCTACCGTACCTTACCTTAAGTAAATGTGGCAGGATAAGGGTATGTTGGGCGTTAAATGCTGACCGCAATTCATGGCATAGTTTTTGCGACAGTACCGAAGGTAATATAAGTTCCGTAAGGTAGTAAGGCAAAGTGAGGCAGGTACCTTAAGGTAGCAAATCATGTACGGGTAAAGGCCGGGGGCAGAAGAAGGTTCTCAGAAGCAAGATCCTAGGCAAGCACTTGAACGCGAAACCTGCACTCGCCCTCACACCACCGCCATGCACCACAGGCTCACGAGACTCTACAGCCACAACGTACCTTACCAGGAGCAAAAGCCGCCCAGCCCGTCAATCCGGTACAACTGTCCGAGACCCTGGCCTCTGCCGTCCGCAAATAGACGCTTCCTGAACCATCTACCTATCTGACCCAAAGTACCTCAAGGTAAGGTAGGTCGGTAAGCACGCAAGGAACTTTTTAAAGGCCTCATAACCCTCTCATCGGTTTCCTCTGCCAAGTCTCAGCCTGCATGCAATTCACTCCCGCTTTGGTTCGTTACAGTTGAATTATATAGAGCACCGGATGCTAAATTCATAGTCTTCACTTTGGGCCACCAACCTGGACTTCGTTCGAAGACGATCGACCCCAGGCAACATCATGCATTGCGCGTATGCATAGGCTTGCTGTACCAGTAAAGTAGAAATCACGCCCCGTCCGCAACCTGCATGTCATTTTAGACTGCCATTGGACGTGCATGTGAATTATTTATTCCCATGGTACTCGATCCTGCTTTTGCTGCTTATTTTTCAGTGAACTCTTACAGTAGCTCACACTGCTTGACAGGGCTGTGATCGTTTCTCTGCTTCCAGGAACCGAGTCCTCCTCACATGACGTTCATCGGCTTCAAGTTGGGCCGTGCTGACTTTGGCAACACTCAACTCAGCTTATTGGTCCTCCAATCTTGCAGGTCAAGCTGCCCTCCAATCAACACTCATAATCGAAAGGATTACTGGCAACCCGACATACGACTGTTAGGCAACCAAAGCGGGAAGGCGTAACGCACACATCCTCCCCCCTCCCTCCTTTCGGAACAGGACCTCTTGAGCTTCTCGCCCCAATCGTGGCATTCAAGTACCCACGCACTCAAGGTTGAACAAGCAACGTTTCTGTAAAGGAGTAGAGACTATTACCCGTTCAAGATGGCGAAATTGTGTCTCATTACTTCTTTTCTGCATCTACGCCGATGATGCGAAGAATGCCAAGATCGCTATATGCCAGACAATATTTTGTTGGCGCCCAGGACACAACCGGGCAAGGTCCAGCTGTCTTGAAGGTATGGACATGGTCTCCCGACTCTGCATGTCGAATATCCAGTCCAGAACCTGGCGGCGCAATTAGCTTTTGCGCTTTTATCGTAACGGCCAGCTTACCTTCATCACTCCCTCCGACCAAGAAGTTGCCGTCGAACGTGAAGCCTATCGAAACATCAGATAGTGTTTGCAGTGCGAAGCATGGCTCTTTCACTCACTAATAGACCGCACTGGGCCGATCATGCTGGTGATGGTTCGTTGGCAAATCCAGTCTGCAGTGTCCCAAAGAGAAATGATGGAATCCGAACCTCCCGTAGCAAGATGACGTCCTGTAGGCTGTAACTCAGCTGTCAAGCAGGAAGACGTGTGTCCATTGAGCCCAAATTCCTTCGGCTCATCACCATGGTTGAACTGGAAGGCGGGCTTAAAATCCGGATATGTCAAGATCCGGGTTCTTCCTTCGCCGGTTGTCAGGAATATCTTCTCTCCGCCCCAGTCAAACGCGATTTGGTTGGTCTGGCTGGGCTGCTGATGCGAAGCTACTGGCGTCGATTGGGTTGGCGACAACACAAAGATGTTGTCCGTCTAGCAGATCGAGCGTCAGCAGAAAGCCCCTGAGTGATGCCAAAAGCAACATGACGAACCTTGTTCCCAACAATTAGAGACTGCCCGTCGGGCGCCCATACGAGGGTAAACGCGTCCCCCAAGCCTCTTATCTCATTGATACAAGTCTTTGACCGAACGTCCCAGAACTTAACGACTCCATCATTGCTTACACTGCACAACTCAGCATCCTTGACTGGATTGAATGCAACCTTTTCGATGGCAGCTGAGTGCCCCTTTAGCTCAGTTGAAAACCGCACATTTGGCTTCTCCGGATTCCCTACAAAGCTTGAGTCAGCCTGATTGCCCCTTCGGATGGGGAAAATATTCGTTGCGTACAGACGCGCAGCGTTTTGTCTGATGAGCCTGTAGCGACCAAACTTCCTAATGGATTCCAGGCTATCGATCGCAGCCTGCGAATATAGTCAGCATTGCCAGGTCAAATTTGCCACGGTAATCATTGATAGGTCGGGAGCATACGTGTGACCTCTGGAGCTTGAGCCGGGATCGTGGTACGGCTGGCTCTTGAGGTTGGTCAGATAGGCTGGAAACCTCTCCTTGGAGAGGCTCAGCCTTGTGCGAGGGGGCACCATGACAACACACAAAGTGCCTTCGATGATGGGTAGCAACTTGGGCTCTAGAGACAGAGAATGATGGAGGTGAAGCCCGTAGAAAACCACAGGAAAGGTTTATGAGGTCTCTAAAACGGCGCTTCTTCGACCACAATCCTATTTGGAGTGTCACAGTCAGTTCATGACTACAACTCGTACGGGGTCGGGTTGAAAATTGCGCCGTGTCGCGTGAGACGACCACACAAGGATTAGAGGGCATAAGAGTAAATTGGCCAGTACCTACAGGATATGGTTCTCGGCAGTGGGAGACCAACGCCGCTTCAACTGCGCACTGGATTCTTGTAAGATCGACGCCAAACTCCAGATTGGACTTCACAATGTTGTCGTGGGAATGCGGTAGGTATCCTTAGTGGATACCTCGCTCCCTGGCTGTGCCCGTCAACTGTACCTTATCTGCGGCGGTGGCCTTCGCAGTGTACCTTGGACTGTAGGCACCTAAGGTAGGTAGGCTAGGTGTCTAGTCAAGCCCATAAGGTAGGGGGGTCCTTCTGATTATCTAATGATATTCGGGTAAGGCGGTCCGGACAAAGCGCCTGTAACATGAACGGAGTGCAGCTGCCAAAGACCGAAAACGCTGGTTACCTTATCGACAGAGAGCTGAAGCTCCCGTCAGCAACTAGAACCAAAAGCTGTTCGGTCGATGATGCATATTCCAAGTCGTCAACCAACATCAGAAAACCACCTCCTTCTTCATATCGCATGTTGGTGTCGTCGGTGGGCCTCAACCGAGTTCGAAAGACATGATGTCACTTGTTTGAAAAACAACAGCGGCCATGATTAAGACACTGTTCGGCCCGACGAAAAAGAATACCTGGTCTTCGGCTCGACGAACCCCCCGTTCGCCACCAACTACACACTGCCATTGCGACGGCATCATCTCACCGAAACAATCGACACGTTGATATAGGGCCTTGCCGAGATGTATTGGCCCATAGGAACCCCGAGAATCTTCGCAACGAGCAGCAGGTCTGGTCCTGCCTTCAACCTGGTCGTTTCTCACGATGGCCTGCCCAATCCCTTCGATAATCGGCCGACGGACAAGGCCTCAGGCACGCCTCCCCTCAATGCTCAACCACAACCATCGCCACACGATGCTATCGAGCTTGCCACGCCCATGACACCGGTCACGCCCGCAATCCAGTCTGTTGACAACCAAGATCATGACCCGGAAACAAGTCGGCCATCCCCCCGGCTCAACGTCAATATTCCCCTCAAAGATCCTGTTCTTGCGCTGCGCATCTCCCGCCCTGGCCACCTTTTTGCAACAATAACATCCACATCGATGACAATATGGCAGGCTAAGGTTGGTTATTACCCGGGATAGTTCTGTTCATTAAACTCTAACGAACCATGCTTACATTCTTCTCCAGCCTACAGTGATTTTGGCAGTGGTAGTCCGCTCGGAATCTTCTTTATCGACTTATGGCGAAAATGTCGACCTTCTAATGAGACCTGACTCGGCTATATTTGTAGTTCGGACTACCTTAGGCTATCTTATTACATACTCACTCGCGATGGACTCCGAAGCCCAAGTCTACAAACCGTATTTCCCGAGTTACGCGAACATCCAACGACGTCGCCAGAATCATCATGGCCAGCCCGGAAGCACAGTCCCAGATCAGTATCTTTGGGGCCCTGGTGAGGGTCAAGGAGTGCGTGACGTAAGCGTTCGTTTCAGGATGGTCATCAAAGTTGATGCTGGCATAGAGAGCGCCCTGGCACTGGATGACGAGCTGGTTGTGGCCACGCGCAAACCAGGCGCCATCCAGTGCATTCGCTGGACTCCGGACCAAAGCGGAAGCCAGACTAGAACAGAAATCATCAGTCGAATGGGGTGGCTAGAAAAGAAGATAACAATCGTCGAGATGACCCACGACCGGCCTATGAATCTGTCAACCTGGACTACAAGTGACGGCAAGGTCTATGCAGTTCAGCGGCTCCACCCTCGCGATCAGTCTCATGGCAACTCGCAAGAAGCGGACCCCAAGAAGCTTTTCAAGGGATATTGCTTCCACACGCCTGGCAGGCCGGAGGAATCCGCCATAAAGGCAGTCATCAACGCAAGATTCTCGTTGATTGCTGTAGGCTGTGCCGATGGGTGCATCCGTGTGTACTCGGCTCGAGACTACGCTGGCAATATACCTCCCTCACACACACACACCATTCCAGTATCGACGACGGTTTCCGGTTCGCTCACAACGCTAAGCTACTCGCCCGACGGCTATTGTCTGTTTGCCGGATATGAAAGCGGATGGGCTACGTGGTCCGTCTACGGGAAGCCGGGTAGCAACAGCTTCAGCGCACACGACGCAATCATCGAGGCCAATGGTGAGAGGTGGATTTCTGGCATTGGAGACGCCGTCTGGCTCGGCAGCGGCTCAGAGATCCTTATAACGCATCGCATGCACGAGGCAATCTGGTTACTAGAAATGGCAAGAAGCGCAGTCGTTGGCAACTACAACGCCGCAAACCTTATGCGCACTGTTTTGCAAACGAGCACCAACGTCATGATATACCGCGGATATGACCTGCCAGATCTGGCCAGCATCTCTGCGGAGCCGCACCTGTGGCACACAACGAAAGTGCCCTCTGCATATCTACTTGAGCAGTGGCCCATCCGCCACACCGTCATTTCACCAGACGGTCGATATGTTGCTGTGGCGGGACGTCGAGGTTTGGCTCATTATAGCGTCAACAGTGGTCGATGGAAAACCTTTGCCAACGAAGCCATGGAAAATGAGTTTCAGGTCAGGGGGAGTATGTGCTGGTATCAGCACATTCTCGTAGCTGCCGTCGAGGCTAACAAGTCGCACGAATTGCGCCTCTATTCAAGAGAAACGGCACTCGACAATTCTCAAGTGCTTCACACTCAGCTGTTACCAGCTCCAGCAGTTCTAGTGACTACTTCAGGAGAGGACTCGCTACTTGTGTACACCTACGACAACCTACTTTATCACTTCATTTTTGCGCCTACCAATGGTTCGATCAGACTAGTTCAGCTTGGACAGATTGCGTTCCATGGCATCGTGCGGTCGCCCGCAAGAGTCCGCGGTCTGAGCTGGATTCTGCCAGACAGCCAGCTCATTGATGGTGATCCGTCGCAAGATGTCGCTGTGGCGTCTGTCTTATTTCTGGTTGATGCCAAGCTGGTATTACTACAGCCCTCATTCAATAACGAGGGCAATCTGAAGTACGATATGAAAGTCATTGCTCAAAACGTTGAATTTCATGTAAGCATGAGAGACCAACCACATTTCGATGCGCTAGCTACGCATGCTGAGGAGCTGTCGCCTGCGGGTGCAGATGTGACCCTACGAAACTCCCTCTGGGTATTTGACGGTCAGGAGTTCAAGGTCTGGGCAGATATACAAGAGGTGCTGCAAGCAGCTTCAAACGAAACACTGCGAGAGCTTCCAAAGACTATATCGGTCCCTCTAGATTTCTATCCCCTTTCGACGCTTCTCGGAAAGGGTATCATTCTTGGAATTGAAGCTGATCTAATTCAGCGGCGAGACATTAGCTTTTCTTTCTTCCGCTTCGCCATTCGAGTTGGTTTGCCGTTCCTACACCCGAGAGGTATTCAGCTAACAGAAATCAACAGACACATTTGTTCCTGCCAGACATTCTGCGCTTCTTGTTGACCGAGGGCCGGACAGTAGATGCAGTCAAACTATCGGACCAGTATCAAAATCTGGAATATTTCGCCCACGCGCTAGAGATATTGCTTCACAAGGTCTTGGATAAGGAAGTTGATTCCGGACCGAGCCCTGAGGAAGCAATCTTACCAAGGGTACTTTCGCTCCTGTCGTCTTTCAAGCAGTACCTAGATATCGTGGTGCAGTGTACAAGGAAAACGGAAGTGCGGCAATGGCGGACATTATTCGCCTATCTCCCGCCGGTACAAGAGCTGTTTGAAGAGTCGCTTCAGCGGGGATCGTTAAAGACGGCCGGCGGATATCTCATCATCTTGCACACTCTAGATGAGCTGGGGTCTGCGTCAGAACAGACTGTACGCTTGCTATCGAGGGCAATGAAGGAGGGTGATTGGGAGCTGTGCAAGGAACTGGCGCGGTTTTTAGCTGCTTTAGATGAAACTGGCGACACGCTCCGCGACGCTATGGAAGGTGTGAATGTTTCAATGAAGGGAAACAAGGACCAATCTGGGCTGATGAGTCGTCTCGATGTGCCTCATAGCAAAGCCGTGAATGGCTTAGGGTTGAAGTACATAGAGCAAAGCGACGAGATGGAGTCGGAAGGTCAGTCGGTCAGCTCCGCTGCCAGCTTTAGTTGAGATGGTCGCTAGAGGACGCTGACACTTGAAGAATGAAGTTCATGACTGCCATTTTCATTAGTTTCCTGCCATGACAGCCCACATGTGACTTGACTGGCAGTTGTGCAGATGAGCATGCATAAACACCCGAGGTGGCATTTTATGGAACCATGTGTTGTGCAATTAGCGGTCGGTGTAGCAGGTACGTACTTGAACCCCCGCCCCCTCCAGCGTACCTGGCAGGCACGGCTGGCCAGACGCACCAAAGCCCCGCCAACTGCTTTCTGCCCGGTAGAAGAGCGCAGAGAAGCAACGTTCACAACCACCCCATGAGAATCACATTTACTCCTGGTTCTTCACATCCGCGCCTATAGTCGAAACGGCCGTGCGACTGCGACAATCCAACATCCACGAACGATCTGGGCATTCCAACGCGACTGCATTCTGGGCCATGATCTGAGGGCTCGTCGAGGCACGAGTCGCACTTTCTTCCCGCCATGATGGATGACTTCGTTAGCGAGTCGGATAGTGACTACACGAGCTATTGGCGAGACTGGGTGAGTGCGAAAAGACAGCCGACAGAAGCTGTATTCCACGGGGATTTTCCTCATCAGATGAGTGTGGAAGCCGAAGTCGCTGGGCAGGGGCTGTGGCGCGTTGGCACGTTGGCGCGCGATTGAAGACAACATGGGCTTCGCAGCAGATTGCTTTGGGCGGCTCTGGACAGCCTTCGGGTGCCCTTTTACTGAAGACGAATCCATGCTGACTGCGGCCCTCTGCAGTTTATTTCCTCTCGTGGCAACGAATACTTCTGCGAAATCGACGAGGACTACCTCACGGATCGGTTCAACTTGACTGGGCTGAACACGGAAGTTCAATACTACCAATATGCGCTGGATCTCATCACTGATGTCTTCGACCTGGACTGCGACGACGAGATGAGGGAGACTATCGAGAAGTCCGCGAGGCATCTGTACGGTCTCGTACATGCCCGCTTCATCGTCACGACAAGGGGTCTTGCCAAGATGGTAAGCTACATCTTCTCTCGAATGTTTCCCTAGCTTCTTTTCTGGATCCAAAGAGAACGAAAGGATTCCCATCGTTTGCATCCTCACTAGCAACGGCAGGCTAACGCAGCTCCCAGCTCGAAAAGTACAAAAAGGCCGACTTTGGCAAATGCCCCCGCGTAATGTGCCACTCGCACCCTCTCCTCCCCATGGGCCTCGCCGACATCCCCAACCTGAAGCCCGTCAAGCTCTACTGTGCACGGTGTGAGGATATTTACAACCCAAAGTCCTCGCGCCACGCCGCTATCGACGGCGCCTACTTTGGCACCTCATTCCACAACATCATCTTCCAGGCCTACCCGGCACTCATCCCCACCAAGAGCGCCGAGCGCTACGTCCCGCGCGTCTACGGCTTCAAGGTCCACGCCCCCGCCGCCCTCATCCGGTGGCAGCACCAGAAGAAGGACGCCATGCGCCGTCGCCTGCGGAAGATGGAGGTCGATAGCGGGTTCCGGGACGAGGATCTCCTGGGGGAGGACGACGACGACGATGTCGAATTTGAGGGCACAGAAAATCGCGTACGACCCGGTGATGACGAAGGCATTGCCATGGCGTGAAAGTAGATGACTGGGTGACAACGGTTTCGCTGATCTTTGGCTACTCAGCCAGGTACACATTGACATCGCACACCGGCAACCTATTGAAAGGCCTTTTGGGCCATGCATGGGTTCCCCCGATTTGCTGTTTTTTTCCTCTTCTATTTTCATCTCTCCTACTCGGTAGACTGGGGCCTCGGGAATAATGATATGATGGCTTTCATGATCAACCAGCTACCCTTTCTGGCTGTAGCCACTTGACACGCTACACGTTAAAGGCTCGCGTCCATGTTTTATTGTTGGGCACATTGTGATTAAGTGAGCATATCCAAACACCTACTTTAGTAAATATATAGATCTACCTGGGATTCGGCAGGGTATGTAAGGCGAGCAGTGGACCAGATCCATCATTCTCAGGGCAGTTTGCGAATCTTCCTCCCTACATGAAAAGAGAAAGGCAAACCAGGCCTGCTGATTATCTTGGCCTTAGACCGCGGCATGTGGTATGCTCAGCTGAGAGCAAATGCCTGAGTGGTTTAAGCAAAGCTAGTCCGGCACAGGAATTCGGCTTTCGACGACACATGCCCAGCAGGTCGTGGTTAAGGGAGAACTGTTATATCAGGTCACTGGTTCTTCACATGCGATACGCGTTTGGCACATGAAGGCTTCAACTGAAGCTGTCTGTCACAAATCTATTACATAACGGTCATATCTGTATGCCATGCCTGGCCCCATAACCAAAAACCATTGCCCCTAAGGCCGCCGCCAGTCCCTTTTGCAGGCGGATGGTATACCGTTAACTCCGTTCATGCCCCAACATGCCCAATTTGAAAATGCGATGGATGGTATTCTGGCATACCGCGCACGGTCTATCATCAAAATCGGGTTTCAGCCTCAGGCTCGTCGTGGGAGCCCTGCTTGCCCATGTACTGCGTCGACGTTGCTTGGCCAATAACTGGTCTTGAGACATACGCCTCTTCCTCGTCTCCGGGCCGAATGAAGTCTGCCTTGTCAGTCGCGTAACTGTACGAGCCGACGCCAGACCACCAGGCCTTGTCATGGCTTCGAGGACCCCAAGCCCAGCCAGCACCCTGTGTGATTGGAAGGTGGTAATAGCGAAAAGCAAAAATGGAGGTGAAAATTCCGATCATGTAGCCGAAGAGGATATCGAAACCGTGATGGCGGAAGTCGAACCAGCGAGAGCCAGCGATGAAAATGGAAGCAAACCAAGGTAGCACGACGATAGTCAGAAGATAAATTGGGGGGGCAGCTGCCTGTCGGCGAACAGCAGTCACAACTTTGTTGTGCTCAGCCAAATTACTTGCCGCAGCGGTCGAATCAGGGTTGAGCAAGCCGCTCTCGCCCAGTCCTACCTCCTCATAGCCGGACCCAGACTTCTTCAAGCGAGAGGGAAAGGCCGAGTGAGATTCAGCACCGTTATCCGAAGCCACGAACGGTAGGGTAACGGCGAACTTGCTGGCGAGGAACAGGGAAAGGTAAATCAAACCGGCGGCGGCGGAGCTCGAGTGGCCGGATGGATAGCTTCGGAAGCCGTCATTGAGCGTGTGTGTATCGGTATTTTGGCAAATGGCCGCAGATACGAGCTGGCCGAAACCTGTGGCACCTGTCAAGCCGGTGATGCTGGGGTCGGTACCGCCAACAACGTAATTTTGTATGTTCGCCAGGTCGGGCTGGCAGCGAGAAAGAAGGTCTGGTCTTGGTTTACCGAACATGTTCTTCATGCCGTTCGTGATGAAGAAAGCGCCAACGTGAGCGAGAGCGAGACCGAGGTATCCAACGTGTAACTCCCACAGCTTCCGCTTCCAAATGAGCGACTTGGGTGTCCCCTTGGGAACAGTGTTTCCGGGAACGAGAATGAGGCACACGGCAGCGATAATGATGATGGGCCCGGCGACGGCGATGATGGCGGCTAGCCACATTGGCACGGTCTCGTGAAGGGTGAAGGGGAAGCTGTTGGCATTTGGGTCAGCAACACGCGGTAGACGACGCTAAGTGACTTTGTTGGGAAGGGCATTTGACTGTCTTACGAGATATTGGGGTCGAGGACAGAGAAAGGGCGCTTGTTCGGCTCGACAATGCCCAAGACGGTGGCAATGCCGCCGACAACGGCGAGGACAAGCCAGTCAAAGACATAGGATCCGATTAATGAAGGCGTCCAATGGCCACGGTGCGGGCGGCGCCTGGAGTAGGGCGCCGGTGATTCGGGCATCTTGTAGTACGAGGGCCTCGACGAGGGCGACAAGTTTGAGAGAGGAATGGACGAGGACATAAGGTGAAGGATGAGGGGAGGGGAAGAAAAGGCAGGAAGAAGTAGTGGGAGGAGGTGAAGGAGGTCATCCGAATCCAAACGAAGGTGGCTCCAAGCTACTTTAGGTGAACGAAGGAGAGCAGACGTATGGGCAGAGGGAAAGAGAGTTTAGTGGTATGGGGTTAGGAATGGGAAAAGATCCGCACGGCGACGATGATGGCGTATGGCGCGGGCGGATACGGCACCTAGGTGGTGGCTGGCCGGGGGGTGCGGTACTTCAAGAAAGGTATCTAGGATGAGAAGTGAGAGGTAGAGGCAAGATTGTCAAGCCAAGGTGAAGCGAGTCGGGTCTGATTTGCGATGGGAGAGTGGAAAGACCAATGTCGGCTGGCGAGAATAAAAAGAGAAGTGCAGTGAGTGACGGAAGTGGATGGGTGCCCAGAAACGGCCAGAAACGGCAGCAAGACACACGAGGTGCGACTTGTTTGGTGTGCCTATGAATACTACCTATGTACGTATGAGGAACCTGAACACGCGCCAAGCATGGTAGCGAGTGGATTTTGGTCTGTAGGTTGATCTTTTCTTTGGTGGTAAGTAACGGGATGTAGAATCCACGGTGTGGTTTGAATACGGATAGACGTTTTGTAGACATATGGAAAGAAGGCGGACTGGACTGTTTTCGTAAATTCAGGACTCAGGGGATTCCCTGAGTCGAACAAGACACACTCTAGGTTGACGACAGGGAGGATGCCGAAACAAACAGAGTAGGTAAGCGGTCGCGTGGTGGCAGGTAGTGCTTGAGAAGGCGGCCCAGGAGCGGTTGGCTTAGGTATACAGTACCTTAAGGTACATCACCCAACGCAACCTTACTGACCTGGAAGGTACCTATCGACCGGGTTCAATGACACGGCAGTCTTCGTACAGAAGTGCATCCTGTGCAGCCAGTTCAGCTACTTATTACATGGTTGCCGGTGAGCTACACACAATTGCAAATTTTCTGCAACTTTTGGCCACGGTAGGGCTCGTTCATCCGTACCTGTCCGAAGGTTGAAGTGGCCGACAGGACTGGCACCTCAATGCACGAAGGTGAGCACGACCTTGAGCTACTTTACCCCAACAGCCAACAGATGAAGGAAGACAGTCCCCTAACGCAGGCGCAGACGATCATCTACCATCGCATCTAAGGTATTTTTTAGGCTTGGACGAAGTCCACAGACTAACAAATTAGGTTTAGGTCAGCAAAGCTCAAGCAGCATGGCCGATGCATTTGATGTGGCTTCGCAATCTCCTAGTAGACGAATCGTTTCCTTACTCGGCTGATTTCGCATCGCAGGATCCCGCGGGCGCGTTGCCACAGCCCTGGTGCCTGGCACTGGCATTTCAGTGCTAATTTTCGGAACCCGAGGGGCGGTATTCGTAGATGGCAGTACGGCTACCCCGTACAAAATAAGGCATCACGTCTCCGTAGGTACTTTGCGCCGAGAGCCGAATGAAGAACGAAGGATGAGCAAGAAGGGTCCCGGCAGCCCCGGTCATCAATCGATACATAAGGTAGGTAGCCCGTCCAATCCCGAGTCTCCAGAGTGTTTGAGAAAGCGCCGGAGGGAGCCCATTTGGCCCGTCTCGTGCAACTGCGATCAATCGTGGCGAAAAGGCAGGTACCTGGTAAGGCTGTGCGTTGCGGATACTCGCAAGGTACATCTGATTTCCATACCCGTTGTGGAGTCTGGTCTCTGGAGGTGAGTTGGCCCCACCGGGCAGACTTGCCTCGATTCCTTACGTACCTTAGTAAAGGACGTGAGTCCCTCGTGCCCCTTTTGCTTACATTACTTAAGCGTGCTAAGGCAGAACGTTCCGCAGCACGCACGATGCACCGGCGAGGGTGGCTTGGGCGCTTGGCAAGCTTGGGTGCTCGGGACTGTGGGTTGCAGAGGCAGTTGATCCTGTCACTTCTGACTCCGCCAAGAGTCTTGTCAGCTTCACTTTTATCAACCTGCCGAGCCACGCATGCCTGCCACCACTTGCCCGTCGCACCGTGCTCTTTCACTCTGATATGTATCTAGCCAAGGACACAAGATTGCGCAATGAATTAGTTGCTCCATCTCAATTGTGCCAAGCTTGCGCCGCCATAGATCTTTACCAATCAACCATCTCTGATCACACACACCACCAGCCACGGCACACACTTGGAATTACCAGTAGTGGTTCTCCCCAGTGACCGTCTGACTGACGGAGCAAAATTTGGTACCCTCGTCAGCCATCTTGACGTTCGCTTCTCGTCACACATCGGATTTGGATGCGCGCCTGTTCCGTCTTGGTCCATATCTTGGCCTGGGATCATCGGCAGACCGGCACGTAGATACCTTCATCAATTTCACGAACGCGTAGCCTTCACCCAATGTCACACTCTCAGCCCGACATAGCCAAAGGGGCATGTTGGAATTCTTCATTACGGAGTAACGAACCGACTATTGCGAAGACGTTGTCAGCCATGACAGGCCTTTGGACTAGTAAACCCTTTGAAGCCTCTGATCATTACCGCGACCAACTCTAGTAGCAGCGGCGACGCCGCTGGCAAATTTTCTTTCCATGCCTCACCGTGACAGCGAGTGAAAGAGTATATTACTTCGCGACCTGCTCGGACGCCGATGCGAAGAGCAATGCAGTTGTCCAAACCCAATTGATAGTCTCATTGCAGGCTACCGCCATGGCGACGCAGAGCCTAGCGGGTGCAGAGACCTGTGTTTTTTATGTGTTCAAACGAGACGAGAAGTTAATCGTGACGACAAATATCGATAAGGAGTTCGAAATGTTCTCTTCGTGGCCTTGTAGATACCCCATCATCGTCTCTTTGGGAACCCCCAATCAATCTACCCCCTTGTCCCACACCGGTTGGGGTGCTTTGTTGGAGAACCCCAATGCCGCTCCTCGCATTTTTTAAGGGTTGCCCCCCTTGAGGGTAGGAATAGGCTCAGCCAACATCCCGTAGGAGACATGGTCTCGAGGGTAATTAATTCTCCGCTTCTCTCAGATGACATGGATCAGTGGTGATTCGCCAGCGCACCCGCAACCTCACTGTCTGCGTGTACCGACATATGGAACAAGGTTCGCAATCCTCCAAGGAACTTTTTCGGCGCATGTTTCCAATTGTTTGCGGCCCGCAGCCGCCGTGATTCGGCCGGGTCATCATTCCGCCACCTTATTCATCGGCTCCGTTTCAATCCGGAGACCCTCGCCCCGGATTCGCCTCAATTATCGGCCTCCAGAATGCGTCCTGCACCGTTGCAACTTCGAACAGAAATCAAAACATCACGGGCTCTATTATTCCCCTACCGCAAGACCAAGCTAGCTTTCGAACGGCCACCGCCACCAAGGTTCGGATCCAAGTGGTGATCCGCTCTGTTGATTTGGCTTCGTGGTCAAGCATTGTGCTTTGCAAACAGACGTTGCGTTGGCTTTTCGCTACCAGACAACGACGACCACCAGTAGTCACACTTAACGATTCCATCGCCAAGTATTTGGTCCTCGATATTGACATCCAGCTAGTGCAGCACAACTATCATGTTGCTTCTCGACTTGTCTCGACGATGCCTCGATGTCGCTTCTCGCCTCCATTCTGCTAAAGGCAGCCAAGGTAGCGTTGTTTCCTAGCAACTCTGGTCTCTTCGACACACGGTCCTTTAGGGAGCATCCGCTAGCCGCATCCCACATCGTAAAAGACGCCTGTTTCGGTCAAAGCCCCTATTTTCGCCCGCAAATCGCTTTGCCCATTTTGGTCCCCATCTCTCTGCAACGGCACCAGGAGTCTCTGTGGGACTAGAGCCATCCACGACTCTGAATACGCCACCATCGCATACGATGTAGCACCGGTGGTAGTTTGACAACTCCAAAGCAGTCGACCCTTACATTGAACTGATTCTCAAACATAGCAAAGCGGCCCCTTCCCACTACCGCGTCATGATAAAGATAGTACCATCTCTCGAGCCTCTAGAAGGATTTCGCGGCTCACCGTTCTGGTGATCCGCACCTTGCAACTCTCTTTTAGGGGCAAGCCTCGATCTTTTTAAGTCGTCTCCCGTCGCCCCGTTTCTTTACTCGATCTGGTTGACCTTCACTCGCTCCTCTCCACATCAGGCTCGTTCTTCTTGGCTCCTCGGAACTGCGCCCTGTCACTTGTCGACTAAGTGTTCAACATGTCTATTCTCGAGTTCCTCGTGCTTGCACTCGCCGGAACGGCCGTCGTAGCCTCACCTCCTCTCGCCCTCCGAGCCGTCTCCCCAGATAACTCATGCGGGAAGACTGGAAACGGAGGTAGCTCAAAGGCGTACACCTGCCCTACCAACTTGCCATGCTGTTCAGTCTATGGCTGGTGCGGCTCTACTGACGCCTACTGCTTGCCCTCCAACGGTTGTCAGACCGGCTTTGGTACGTGTACGGGAACGAGTAGCAGCAGCCCGCCAGCGAGTAGCAGCAGCAGCTCGCCAGCGGGTAGTAGCAGCAGCCCGCCAGCGAGCAGCAGCAGTGCCTCGGCAACCAAGATCTCCCCTGACAACTCCTGCGGAACGACTGGAAATGGAGGCAGCCCATCGGGGTACTCTTGCCCGACGAATCTATCCTGCTGCTCGGTCAACGGCTGGTGCGGTTCGACTGACGATTATTGTTTGACGACCAATGGCTGTCAGACCGGGTTCGGTACGTGTACAAACAACGGTAGCCCGCCGGCAAGCGGTGGTGATGGCGGCGACTCGGGGTCAGGGCTCTGCGGCCCCGATAATGGAAATGCCAACTGCGCCGCGAACGAATGCTGTTCTGCTGCAGGGTACGTGAAAACCCCAGTCGCGAACCGTGCCTATGTCGCTAATCTCACACCAGATTCTGCGGAACAACTGAAGGTAATCAAACCTATGCCACGTCGCTTTGGAATTACACCCCTGACACAACGTAGACTACTGCAGGGCTCCGGACTGTTTGTTCCAGTTCGGCCCTGCATGCGATGCCAACAAGATTCCCCCGGGTCAGAACACCTCGAGCATTGCTCGCCCCAAGCTTGGCCAGGTCGAATACGGCGGTCCAGGTGTATACAGCTGCGTCAATCCTGGCGATGTTGCTCTGACTTACGACGACGGCCCGGCCTCGTACACAAACGATCTGCTGGATCTTTTGAAGAAATACAATGCCTCAGCCACTTTCATGATCACTGGCAACAACAACGCCAAGGGTGAAATCGATAATGCCACGTTCCCCTGGGTTAACACCATCAAGTATGGTCCTTCACTCCCCGACAGACTTTGGAGTTTTTGGCTAACGTCGGGCAACAGGAGGATGTACGCCGAAGGCCACCAGATTGCCAGCCACACCTGGTCCCATCCTGATCTGGTATGTCTTCTTGCCATGGCTCGTCTTTTTGCCAATGTTTATGCTGACTTTTCAACTAGTGCAACATCACATCGGCTCAGCGCAAGGATGAGATGTACAAGCTGGAGATGGCTCTCCGAAACATCATCGGCGTCTTCCCTACTTACATGAGGTATTCCAGTCTTCCTTCGATCAATCTTCCTTGAAACACCAAAGTTCTTTGCCTGACATAAACCTTGAAAAGACCTCCTTACTCCTCCTGTACAGCCAAGTGCGGCTGCGAACGCGACATGAAGGCGCTGGGCTACTCGATCATCTACTTTGACCTCGACACCGCCGACTACCTTCACGACAGTCCCACGGAGATTCAGCAGTCCAAGGACATTGTCACCCAGGCCATCGCCGCCAAGCCGGCCGCCAGCGACAACTTTCTCGTCATCGGCCACGACATTCACTATCAGACCGTCTACAACCTGACCGAGTTCATGCTTCAGAAGTTCCAGGGCAAGAACATGGTCACCATCGGTGAGTGCCTGGGCGACCCGAAGGCCAACTGGTACCGAACGGACGCGCGCACCACTCTTGATTAAGCCACTTCAGTGTCGACAGATTCGAAGAGAGTAGTTGGTTGCCCTCCTCAGGATAGCTGGTCGGTAGTATTTTAGCCCATTAGGCAATCTGGAATTCAACCTCGTCGTAATATAGTGTGAATCAAATAGTGTTACATAGTTCTTGTTCAATAATCTTTTTATCTGCATCAAACTGGGTCCGAGTCTAAAGATAACTGGTAAACAAGAATCATGGTCTCCCTGGAGAGGCATCGTGAATCATCATTCATCCTACCATTTCCTTCTCTACTCATGTCTCTGAGTATGTTGATCGAGGAACATTCACGTAAATTCATGGAAACCCTCATCAGTAAGAACAGAAAAACGCGATGCAATGTATTCAGCCGTACCTGAACCTAATTCTCCGAACAGATGTATGTACAGGTTTTTTCGCACGATGCCGTCGGCTATAAGAAGCTCACCCCCTACCCCCCGATGCATGGTATGTTTGTCTTCCTTCATTGCGCGTCATCAAAATACTCCAAATTGGAGCGACGATTAGACGATAAGACACCCTGACTTGTAAGCTAGCGATGCCTTTACACACAAACTAGTGAATTCCATGTCTTGCCAGCCTAATGGAAGACAGAGTCAACGAACTCCAGCCAAACCGTCCGCTTTCGTGATATCCTTGCCCTGACTCCATGCGCCGTTCATGAGACAAGAGCAACAAAGTCCCAATGCGATGGAAAATGTAAAACCCACAAAAACAAACCGACCAAAAACAGCAGCCCATATCTGACAGATGAGTCTGGACACTAACTTACCCAGAGAAAAGTAATAAGCCCAATCGCCTTCCCCACAAACCCGCGAGGGCTGCATCTGGGAACCTGAGGTAATGCGACAAGGAGAACAGCTGCACTTATAGAGGTGCGCGTCGCCGATGTATGCATTCGTAAAGGTGGCCGTAAACGCTGAAGATCATCCAACTCCTCGGTCAAGGTGATTATGCAAACCCAGAGTATCTTCCGAGACACGTAAAGTGCGAAAGGGTGCGCGCAGGTTCGCTAGTAGTTAGCTTCTTCCTCCTGCTCATCCTCGGGGTATTCATCACCCTCCTGGGTAGAGATCTGGTCCAGGGAGAGATGAACATCGAGAATCCCGAAGTGAGGAGCGCTCTTCTTCGCCCATTGGCGGGTGAGAATGGAGGCTATGCAATTGTTAGCGAAGCAAACGAGGAACCGGACTAAGGAGGCTCTTACCCTTGAGGAACTTCTTACTAGCATACTTCTTGAAGAAGGCTTCATGGACGACCGGGCGAGCAAGATAGTCTACCATGAGGCGAACGACAGGCTCAATCTCCTCTTCGTTGTAGCCAGCATAGAAGGCAATGGTCTCGTCCTATTAAATGGTCAGCCAATTAGCCCAGATTGCTAGAATCTATGTCACGTACCCATTCACCACGGTCCAGGATGAGGCGGGCCAGGTACATAGCGCCGGCTGCGACATGGCTCGGGCGGTAGGCCATGAATCGATGGTCGAGGAGGCTGATCTCCATGAGGTACTTGCCGATGGTGCGGCACTGGATGTCGTAGTTGTCGGCCTTGCTGATGCGACGGAGGAAGTTCATGGGGTTGGGGTAGCTCAGATCGTAGTTCAAGGTGCCCAGCACAAATCGCTCCGCGCTGAGGATCTCGGCCTCACTGAATCCATCATCGGCGACGTGGCGGAAATTGGCAACGTGGGGCGACAACACTTCCTCATACTTGGAAGCGATGAACATGGCGGTGATACCGACGAGCTGCAGTCGGTCGAGCTGCACAACCTTCTCGGAAAGGAAGCGGTCAATGATGTTGATGGCCAGGAAGAGAGTCTCAGGGAGAAGGTGGAAGCGCGTGTGCACCTCAATCAACCAATCGACCAGAATCCCACGCGTCTTCCACTCCAAGTCGTCCTGGTGCTCCATGTAGTTTGGGTTGGGAATGGAGTTGCACTCTAAATCCTTAAGGTATTCAAAGATCTCATTAGCATACTCAGCCACCATCAAAGGATCGTCCAGGTCTTCTTCATCCAGGTTCCTGACACCTGGAGGGTACTCGAAAGGCTTGTTGGCATCGACGGGCTCAGATTCGACTGGAGTGTGGGTCTTGGGTGCGAGACTCTCTTGCTCGTGCTTTGTTCGACGACCCTCGGTAGTGAGCTTCTTGCGCATGGGCTCGCCGTCGTCGAGAGAAATCTCCTTCTCCTCCTTGATGATTTTTGTCGTGACCTTTCTCTTTGAGATCGCGCCGGATCCTGAGCCGGGTGCCTTATCCTTCTTCTCTCTGGGTGCCACAGATCTGGTCGTGCTCGTAGACTTCTTGGTGATTCCGGTAGGCTTCTCAGCCTTGGAGACAAGGCCGACCTTGCCAACAGGCTTTTTGCCTGGACCAGCCTCTGGTTTGTTGACGTTGCTGACATCGCCGAGAGCGGCGCGTTTAGTTCGTTGAGCTGCTGGGATCGCGTTGGCTGCAGACTTCTTTGTGGCGAGGCCCTTTCCTGGGACAGCGAGCTCATCAACGCTTAGCGCGGCTGCTTTGGCACGCGTCATACGCGTGGTTCCGCTGTTCTCATCGTTCTCGTTTGACACGAGGCGTTGTGCACGCGCCGGACGGGTAACCTACAGGGAATTGTAAGAATTACATCGACGCGACGAGAGCCTACTAGACGTGCTATAGATATTAGCATTTGCGGGTGGACTTACAGGTGGCATCTTGTCAACTGATTATGTGAAGTTGAATATCTGAGGCGTAGGATCCTATGTGGACAAGGTTAGCGTTGGGACGCGTCGAGACACAGGTACCGCCCCGAAGATCAGCTGAAAGGAGCGCCGCTTAGTTCTGGAGGATTGGGTGTTTGGGAAGAGAGGAAGAGAAAGAGAAAGCGTGGAAATGGAACGAGGTGAACGAGGTCGAGACATGCATACCTTAGGGAATGATGATGACGGGCGACTCGAACGCGGGCAAAATATTTGCTTTGGTTCGACACCAAACACTTGATGGGCCGGATCAGTCGCGTCCCCGGGGCCAATTGGCAAAGATGCAAAGATGCAAAGATGCCGGGATAGAGGAGGAGAAGGTAATGCAGAGGGAGAGGTAGAGGAATTAGGAATCTGGGGTCTGGGCAAAACTGAGGTTGTTTATGTGGGAGGAGGTGGATGGACAATCAATGTGTGATATGTTTTGCTGAGGTAGTGGGAACGGATGGACGTGATGTAGTATGCAGTGGGTACCTACCTACCTAAGGTAAAGTACCTTAGGTATTGTGAATGGGGAGTAGATCCGCTTGCTGTGTGGGTACGTACCGATTTGTCCAAGTCGCGGCTCGCGGTGGCCCTAGTTTGGTCACCACAGTAGCGTATCTGAAGCAGACAGGCGTGCAGCTGGTGCACACGCGAACAGCGGACAGGGAGTGGCTTCTTGACTCTCGCTAAGGGAAAGTCGCACGCGTCGGCTGTGTCTTTGTTGTAAAGGATGGCCGAGGAGGTAGTCGCGACGGATGGATTCCCATAAAAGAATCCAGGGTTTCTTTGTGTGCGACAGGAGAAAATGATGAAGGCCGGAGGGCAAGATATATCCAGCTCTGGGTGTATGGAAATGGTGAATAGATTAAATTCAGCTAGGCCTGAGTGATTCAGACAGAAGACCTGGTGGCGCAGAAGGTGACAAACAGTTATTGCAGTCGGGTGGAATGCAGGTGAGAGTGTAGGATGCGGTGGTGGTGATGATGTTGATTGTTGTAAGGAACTGATAGAGTGTGAGGATGGGAATGAGAGGCTCTCTTATGGATGAAAGAGCAGCTGGAGCGGCGATAGTGGTGAGAGCGTGTTTCTGTCGGTTGCTTGGGGCGAGATTGAATAAACCTGGAAAGGAGCAACAAGATTATCAAAATGCCTCGATCCGGAGATAATCGTAGGCTTAAGAAGAAGTTCGAGGGTCGCGGCCGACAGTGGTCAAGACCAAGCGAGAGTGGGAGACAGTCTGAGGGTGGATACGCGATTGCCCCGGCTGCACGCGAAGGACAACGGCTGGCTGATACCGTATAGAAGACTGCAAAGAAAAAAAAAAGACGTGGAAAATGGGAAGTTACCCCGGTCACAATAGCAATCAACAGCAGCAACCGCGGGGCAACCGGAACACCATTGGCTGCCTTCCCAACCACGTCCCGTCACGCTCTCAGAGGCGGCCTGGCCGGGCGTGTCGAGGCGTCTGAGGCTCAACTCACGGGTTGAGCCACCCGGAGCCGCTTCACATGTGGCTGAAGCTTTCTCTAGCAGTACGGATACCTTGCCTTACGTATTTTCCAAGGCCAGGTACCTAGGTACCATACTGTGTAGGTGCCTCAGTGTGTCGGCGCCGGCAGAATAATTATTTCGCAAAGCTCGAAATCTGCACTGGCCTCAAGCGTTCAAAGCAACTACCTCAATCACGACAACAGGCACCTTATTCCCACACCCCGAGGATCACAACGGCAATCGGGGTCGGATTTGGATACTGCTGGACCCAATTCGCAAATCGAAATCCTCTCTTAGAGTTGTCTTCGCCTTCTTGCCGCCGCTGCACCCCTACCGAACCCGTCCTTTTCCGCGACATGCTGCGCTGACGAGCTTCTCCTGAAATCAGTCAGCCAACTCGAGAAGAGGGAATCTTCTCTCCAACTCTCAATAGCACATCAATGCCGATATGTCGCGTCCTATAATGTTATTGTCGGCTCAGAGAAGCTGCGCAAGTCTTCTTCGTTCGGCTGCCTTGCGTGGGCTTGCTCTTCGACAATATGCCACTGCCACTAAAAAGTCCGTCGAGAAGCCTGCCACAAAACCTATCACCAGCGAGTTCGCCGCATCTGCCTCCACCCCCGAGAAAGCAAGCAATGACTCTGTCATCATGCGCACTTATAAGCCGCGAACACCGGGTGTTCGTCATCTAAAGCGCCCGATCAACGATCACCTGTGGAAAGGACGGCCCTTCCTACCATTGACCTACCCTAAGAAGGGCCATGGCAAGGGAGGTCGTAATAACTCTGGAAAGATCACCGTCAGGCATCACGGAGGTGGCGCCAAGAGGAGGATACGCACCGTTGACTTTGAGCGCTGGCAGGCTGGCCCACATCTCGTCGATCGCATCGAGTACGATCCGGGTCGAAGTGCTCATATTGCGCTGCTCTCGAACAAATCTACTGGGCGCAAAAGCTACATCGTCGCCGCCGAGGGTATGCGTGCCGGTGACGTCGTCCACAGTTACCGTTCTGGTATCCCCAAGGATCTTCTCGACAGCATGGGCGGCGTTGTCGACCCCGGTATTTTGGCAGCCAAGACCGCCTGGAGAGGCAATTGTTTGCCTATGCACATGATTCCTGTCGGTACCGTTGTTTTCAACGTCGGCTCGAGAGCAAAGGGCGGTGCTGTTTTCTGTCGCAGTGCTGGCACCTACGCAATTGTGGTTTCCAAGGAGGAAGAGACCAGGGACGACGGTACCAAGGTTGTTACGGGCAAATACATCAACGTCCGTCTCCAGAGCGGCGAGATTCGTAGAGTCAGCAAAGATGCTTGTGCAACGATTGGAGTTGCCAGTAACCCGCACCACCAGTACAGACAGCTGGGCAAGGCCGGAAGAAGCAGATGGCTCAACATTCGCCCGACGGTTCGTGGTCTTGCCATGAACTCTGGTACGTGTACCCAACGTTGGCTTTGTGGTTGGGAATGCTAACAATCGCCCAACAGTCGACCACCCCCACGGCGGTGGTCGTGGAAAGTCCAAGGGTAACCGCCACCCGACCAGTCCTTGGGGCACGCCGGTAAGTTTCTTTCGACTGTCCCTCCTGCTCGGATAGTTGCTGAGACATGTTTTCCATAGGCCAAGGGCGGTTTCAAGACCCGTCGCAAGCATAATTACAACAAGTGGGTCGTCGAGCCGAGAGTACGCAACATGGGCAAGAGAAGAAGCAAGGCCTCTTAAGTCTTGCTAGTCTGTCGGCGAAAACCCGCTATAGACGGACACCATCAGACCAAGACCGAGCCTAGAGCGAAGCTCGATGCACCTGTTGTAAATGTATGCCATAGTATTTGTATCATAGAGCTATCCATGTCGAGTTGTCGACCTCCGGCGCCTTCTCCCAGGATACCGCAGCTGTAACGTACCACCATATCCCGCATCCAAATCTCCTGGTCATGAAGAAATCCCGTGTAGCGGTAGCAGCGCCATAGGTGGTCTGGCTGTGCTGTTAAGACAAGCTTGAGGCAAGCTGTGGGTGCTCAACTATCCGACTCGGGCCCGTCGTCGGAGGCGGTAGTCTCCTGCGTGCGCTGCTGGCGATCTCGGCCGGTCCCATTGCCATCCGTTCCGTCACTGTTAGCTTCTGCTTCGCGGTTCCGTTGTCTCCAGGCCGCCAACCCGCCGCCGAAGGCCTCCTTGTACGTCTTCTTCGCTTTTTCGAGCTCCTCTTTCACAGCCCTCTGAGCCTCCTTGAAATCTCTTTTCTCCTTCTCAGCATCCCGCCTTACCTTGTTGCGTTGGGCCGTGATGGACAGGAAGCGGTCCCACGTCGGCGGCGGTGCGAGGCCGTTGCCGCCGACCATGATCCACCACATCCTCGGAACGGGGTCTTTCCCGGAGACGGTTTGCTTGGACATTTCCCCCTCGTATGGATATCTATGCGTGCTCGCCTTGCTTCTTGATGTGCCTCTGGTTGTGGGTGCCTAGCATCTTCCTACAAGCGTGCAAGCGTGTTGGCTTGGCTTGTTTCGAATTGATGCTATAACGGCGGCCTGCTTTGACTCAACACTTAAAAATGTCGCCAACTTGCCCTAAGGTAGTTGCTGACGTCGAGGCGCGGGGACTGCCTCAGGAGCTTGGTTTGATGAACCGAAGGAACCAACTGTTCCTTTCCTTTGGGATACTGTAGGCATTGCCGGTACCCATATAATACTTGGAGAGTAGCTGAGGAGAGGTAACGGGAAATACGTCTGTAGTGACGAAAATACTTTCCTCCAGTCATTCGCAGTGGTGAATCAGGTGAAGTCGCCAATGTGATTGTGAGTGTGAATTTGGAACAGTCTACTTTACTCATTCACCGAGTCTTCTTGTCAGACCCTTGCGCTTCTCAGATTTGTCTTGGTGTAAAGAGATGAAAGTAACAGGCAAAATATTGCGTAGCTTGTAAGAGCCGCTTCTCTATCCTAATCGCATCCTAGCGAACCTCCGCAGCGAACGCCTCGTCGCGAGCCAGTTAGCAAACCGTCGCGTGTCTCCTGTGACGCTTTTTCTAGACTCCTGTGACATGATTGGAACTCCTTGAACGCCGCTTGTTGTCTTTACAAGCTTTCCCTTTGAAATGAAGCCCTAGTCTAATCCAGTTCAGCCTGACGGCTCCGAGGCTCATAAACATAACGTATCAGAAATCATCGTTTCCGCCTTCATTAAAAACATGTGATCAAGATATACTGTCGGCACTTATACAGATCCGATCCGCTCCTCGACGCTGCCGAAGTAGACAACCGGTCGGGGCTCGAGTATGCTGAGCTCGCTGCCAAAGCTCTTCCGCTCTTCCTCGAGGTCGAGCACCGAGGGCTGGCGGAACACGATACTGTTGATTGTGCTGACGGGGGATGAAGACGCGGCGGCAAATGAGCCTCGATCGCTGCTAGCACGGGATGATGCTGAAGACGAACGGCGAAAGGTGGTGCGAAGTGTGCTCGGGGAGAAGCGTGAGGTGATGGACTGGAAGCGGGAAGACTGCATGGTGAATATAAATGTGGCGTTTCCGACGCTGTGGTGCTTGTGCAGATCCAAAAGATTGGTAAATCTTAATGCCGTCGTGATAATAGGAGATGGCAGTGGTGAGGTCGACAATAAGATGTGAGAGGATGTTCTTGCAGACGTTGAATATTGGAGGCTCAGCCTCTATTGTAATTGAATGAACGGCGAGAATCGAAGATACAGAATGGGGGACAGCCGGTTCCAAAAAAGGAGTGTAGGATACACAGAACTCGTCTACCGAAGAGAGCCGGGCCCGAAGTGTGAAGAAACTGGGTATGTGGGAGGAGCAATGTGTGGGTTGGGATTGGAACGTGTAATGTTCAAGCGGGATTGGGTTGGATTATATCAAGTGCAGCTGAGCGTGAATTACACTCGGGAGGAAGGATAGCGCGAGGCTAGTAGTAGCAGAGCAGGTATGGTAGGTTCGGCAGCAGCAGTAGTCCGGCTGAGACGAGCGAGTTGCCCCTGGCAGAGGATCTATCGCAGACGAAGCGAAGTGGCAGAGAGGGAACAAGGGGTCGCGGGAGGTGGAAGGGAAGGCCATGGAAGGGACTGGTTAGGGGAGCAAGGGCATACGGAGGATTAAGAAGTGGGAGAAGGGCTCAAATACCTAGTGTAGGATGCATACCGAAGTACATAGTATGGAGAAGTGGGCTTGAGGTCCAGGGGTGTGACGCAGACGGCATCAATGCGAAGGGTGGCATCAGGACGCTGCCTCTTTTGGTAACGAGCAATGCGGTGGGAAGAATATAGCATGGATACGACCTAGGCTGGATGGTTGAAGGCAGTTGTTCAGACGACGGACGCAGATGTCTGTCTGTCCTCACAGCAGCATGTGAGTATGTGTGCAATGGCATGCTTTGGGAGTAGTTGAGAGTTTATGAGAGCAAACAGAGGGACCGGTGCAACCTGGACGAGGAGACCGAATCCGGCGTTGAGTCTATCCATTCCTAGGTGGATTCGCTTCAGTTGGGGCATTCGGCGCTCAACGTTCTCCTCACTTGCGTTCTACGTTGGTGATGAGGCGACGTCTTTCTCTACTATGTCAGACAATATTGTTTACGGATGTCCATGGCTTGAAGACAGAGACCCGCTAGGGGAGATGACATGAGATTCTGTGCCGCATATGCCATACCTCCGTACTTCACCGACACCGACTAGAGACGCGTTCAGCACCTGTAGATTCTGCTTGTTGAAAGTCAGCCACAGAGCAAGGGGTATCGGTTCATGGAAGCAGAGAACGAGGGCGAGAGGCAACTAGTGTAACGTGCAGGAGATGCCACCCCAGGAGCCGGCGCAGGGCAGTCTGAGGTATGTAGCAGCCCCCTGTTCCGTCCCTACGCCGTCAGTCCCAACCGGCTGCATCGTGTGATCGTCGTCAGGGGCCAGGAGCCAGGGACGACTTCCCCTGAGGTGGGTACCTCTGAAGGTACCGTTCTTGGGGGAAAAGTATGGATAGAGTACGGGCGGGTACGGGACGGCCATCTCGTCTTCGCTTGTCTTGGCACGCTTGGCTTACCAAAATCCGTACTGCAAAAAAAAAAAAAAAAAAAAAAAGTCTGTTGACGCACAGGCGGTGAGTGCCAGTCCTCTCATGTACTGCGCCACGCATCATCACTACGAATATTAGGGGTAAGGTACATTGGACGGACTGGAGGAGAGCCCGATGAGATAGGTAGTACAGATACCTTAGATAGGCAAAACGTCAGGGGGCACCGCTACGGGTGCAGCCAACAGGCAGACTGACAGCTTAGCGACGCAGATAAAGAACGCACGGCTGTTTCAAGGGCGCCCACCAGCGAAATTGCCGATGTCATGCGTGCTTCATGGCTGACGCTGACGCTGACGCCGATCCTGACGACGGTCCCGGGACTTGGTGAGTGTTCCCGCATAACGTGCTCAACGCCATAGCGCGGCGTTCGTGCCACTCGTTCGCACCAAAAATCTCCTTTGACGAGGATGGCCACTGGCAACTCGGTGGAAACCCGTGATGAGGGAGTCGAGGCCTTCTGGAAGAACTCTCTCTGCCAATGTGGCAATGCTCAGCCAGAACCTGTCCTAGATTAGCCCGAAATTGTCAGTCGTGAGAATCGACGATGTAAATGCTAAAAAGGGTCACATCAATTTAAGGGAGACCGTAGTTCTCTATCGATACCTCTTTCCCATTACGCCGTAAATGAGAGAGGTGAAGTCAAATAGAAACGCCGCGAGTCCCGCCAGGACTGAGGCGAAGTAGTATAGTTCGGGCACGCAACATCCAACAGGTCATAATCTACCTCTTTCGTCCCAAACCTCGTCATATCGTCGTGTTGCTGTTCTGCATACTAAATAGGAAGCTGGACCGATGGCTTGAAGTTATACCCAAATCACAGACACCATCACACGCATGAAACTCTCTGAATCAAGGGTCTCCATTCTCCTTATCGCCTTACTGTCGCATTCTCCATCTGATCCTCCGATAAGAAAGAGATCCGAGTGCCCCCTCTTTCGGCGGGCAGTCGTCGATCTCAGGGTGGAATGGTGAAGAATAACTTGATGCGACAAGGGCTCACTGAGACAAGAAACAAGGCCACTCCTGACCGTACCCCTGTCCTCTCCAATGTCCATTGTCGTATTCCGAGTTCCTTGTTATTTTAGAAGTCAACGATGGGAAATCACGTGCGTTAAAAGTACCAAAAATTCGTGCATAGGCCTCAGCAGACAATTCCGAGTAATCGCAGTTGCGTAAAGCAGGCAAAAGATTAGATTGGCTGTTTGCCACTCTAGAGCCCCTTCCGGTAAGTAGATGCACCAGTTGGACGTCCAGGACGGACAAAGTAGCAGGAGCATATTGAAACATTTGTGAGAGTGAAACGAGGAAGTGCCAACCGACGGCGAGACACGGACAAGATGAGACCAGACCAGACCAGGACCTACACCAGACAAGACGAGACATGGGAAGTCACGAGATATGAGATTTAGGCCCATCAATGGACTGGACTTGACCAATTCTCCGAGGCCCATCCCGGACACATAGTCGACCCCGATCGATGACTGTCGGTGAAGCTTCTTTTCTACTTCATCCCGTCTCATCTTTCTGCTACCGACCTGTAGGATGAGGAAGACAGACAAAAGAGGAAGGAGGTAGAGGTCAGAAGCCGAGAGGAGGAAGTTTCTGAGAGTCATGAGCGGTCTTGTCGGCACTGCTGAAAGCCATCATTCTCTCGTCATCAGCATCCCGTCGAGACCCCGACTCTGTCCACCGCTGACGGCTCATGGCCCGGAATTGATTTATGCTAGGAACCCTCTCACTCATTGAATCTGTTTGTTAATCTACTCCAATTCGCATTACTTTTACTCAGGTCGTTCTTGGGCAGGGCACATGGGTTTCAAAAATGGAAATTTTCTAGAAGATTGTTACGGACGCACCTGCAGACACATGGCTTGAACCCTCAGGCTTTTCATGAAAATCAAATTAGCCTAGTTCTTTCTTCCACAGAAGAAATCTCAGGTTTGCTCTGATGCTCGGTTGATGCAGTAAAAGTTGCAATTCTCTTTTGACGGCCAAGTGAACGTTGCTGTCTTCATGGCTGAACTCGAGATGCCAAGATAGATCCGCCAGAATACAACCGGGATTGTAGATCTTGATGCGAGAGAAACTTTTGGGATGAAAGGTCTGCTACAATGATAGAAACGGCATGAATACTTAGGTTTGGCATTTCTGGTCTTAAAATGCTGGTCAACTTCATTACATTATTGTCTCTGGGAACAACTCGGCAAACCAATGGATTTTTGCACTTTTTGCTCTAGTAGTTTTCAGATGACCGAGAAACTGCTCCCCTCTCCCTAAGCCTCAATGTCCGATCGCGATGTCGAGGCGGCATGAGACAATGTGAATGGTCCGAGTGCAGACATGACTTGTGGATTAGAGGTTGGTGCAAGGCAACATCCATCATTCCACGATGAGACTGGCCATGGGATTCTTGCAATGCCTCGAGGCAGTTATATCGTATTACGGGCGCTTCCTATTCTTCATGCGAATGGTATGTTCATGATGTCCTGTACTTTAGTTACCCTACTTACATATAGTCTACGAAGCCCTTCCTCCGATGATGGTCTTCATCATGCCACATATCTCAACCAAAGCCGTGAGCAAGTTGTGCTTCGTCTTTCTTTCTATCAAACATCGAAACAAAAAGTTCATGGTGCCAATGGCTTTCATGGCCAGACATGGTCTAGGAGCTACGCCCAGAATCGATGACATGACACGTCCTCATTCTAAACCCAAACGCCGTCGCTTGAAGAGCACAATCCACTTCGCACACACTTTTTCCGTATTCATCTGCCCCAATCGGATTTTCGAACCGATTTCCGGACTGTTGCAGTTCTACGAATACTCTCAAGCCAAATGGAGTCGTCCAGCATGTTGCTGACTTGTGCCGGGCTGACGGGGCTCTGGGGTGTGACCGCACTTCCCCGTCGACTGCTCTGGGCCGAAGTTTGACCGCCTTCTTGCAGTTCAAAGCTGAAGGCAGAATGCGTCGATTGGTGGCTCGGCGTTGTCGGCCCAGATCTCGGGAAGCTGAGCGGATGTTGATAATCGGTGTCAGACGATGTGTCCATCGGCCCCGGTCCGGACCAGCTATTGTGCGCCGATTTGTGGGCATCTTCCACTGTCAGCAACGCCGACCTCGTTTGTCCGGTTCCTGCCACCGGCGAGGACTTGTGTCGTAATTCGTCATCGTCAACAAGAATATGGGGAATATCGAGCTGGGGAATAGCAGTCATCCTCGCCGACTTCCTCATGTCAATGTGCTTCTTGAACTTGCGAGTCCAGTACCTGGAGACATTTTCGTTAGTTATGGGACTCTGAGGTCATTTGTTGCCAGGAAACCTCACAAGGTGTCAAAGAAGCCAAGGACGACCCTGCGGCGCACCTCCTCTTCCACTCTCTGCAGTCGAGCACGCCTTCGCAAGAATTCTTCCAACCTAGAGAAAATATTAGTCTGATCATGGATAAAGCTTGGTGCGGAGGAACTTACTTCAAGCTCTTGCTGTCATTAATGATATTGTAATGGGCCAGGATCATGAGCACGGAAGTGAATGAAATGCCCTTGTCAGGGTCCGCAGAGACCATGACTTCTTCGAAAAATATGTTGAACCGACGGCGGCGCTCGCGGACCTTGACAACATCAATTTGGGCCAGTCTTTGATTGAGTCGGTGGATGTCGATGCCCGCACTGTAGTTGCTCGCGGAAGCGATAGACATGTGGCGTGCTCCAGATGTTGCGGCATCGTTGCGAACATCCTCTAGGATCTGTCTGACCGAGTCGTCGGCATCGTAAATGCGCATTTCGAACACCCCAGAGAGCTCTCCTAAAAGTCGGGGGAAGGCGTCTTTGCTGATGAAGCCGGTCCCAGCAGGATCGACGCTTCGCCACGCCTCCTTGAAGCGCCGAATCTCATCACGGTCCACTGCAGCCAATCCGCTGGACCGTTGGTAGACGTAACTGAAGCTCTCATATATGAGAGAAACGAAGAGGTTGACGAAGATGTACATACTCAGAATATTCCATGCCACAAAAAGGAAGCGAGCCCAGGGTTTGCTGCCGCAATCACTGTCAAAGAAGTCGGCGTTGTCGACGCAAAGCGGCGGCTCGATAGTTGCATAATCTTCCATGACCTGGTTCCAGCCTTCACCACAACTCATCCGGAATAGAAGGATCAGGGCGTTAGGAACGCTGCGGAAGTTGATATTGGCTTCTTCGTTCTCACCAAAGCGCGTCAGACTGAAAGCCTGTGTCAGAGCAATGGCGAAGACCAGGAAGAACACAAGCCAGGTAGCGAGCAAGTTCCCGATCGTTGTCAAACTCGCGGCCGCCGTCTTGAAAAGCTGATCGAGAGCATCGTTTCGGGGAATGAGAAGTAGGAGGATGGCCACAAGGAAAAACTTGTGGAGCTGCACGTAGGTATCGCTGTTTCTGCTGATGATGAGGACGGATGTAGAGATGAACGCACCCGTGACAACTACGAGCGAGTATAAGTCCCATGAGCTCCTTCGGAACCGGGCCCAGCCGAGACCAACAATCCGTATAGCAATGTTGGCCATATAGACCAGCGTGAATGCCAAAAACAAACCATCCCGGGAGTTTGTCCACCACTGCGGTTCGCCGTGATACTCAAGAAGAAGTAGCAGGAGATGGCAAATGAGGACGTAGGTGACGGCTGTGTACCATTTGCCCCTTTTCTCTATGGCGCGTTTGTGACACCACTTCTTCCATGTTTTCTCTGACTCATTGTACGAGCTCTTGGAGGGGGAAATTTGTCGCAACAGTTTCCGCAGTTCGAGCCAAGACCGCTGCTCGGCCGTCAAAAAGGCAACCCCAGTCTGTTCCGTGTAGTTTCGCATGAATACTGAGATAAACAGCGTGAGGACGAATACTGTGGCCAACAAATTGAAGACAACAAAGAACATCGCATTGCCCTGACGGTTGAGATCTTTTGGTTGGTAACCGCGCCCTGTGACTGCTTGTGCTGCGTACATGACGTCGATCCAACCCTCCTGACTGACGATCTGAAACAGGACGAATAATGATGCTGCGAAGTCATCGAAGCTGAAATAGTCATTGGAGGGAACTCGAGGCGCCAACATGGGCCAATCGTTATTGAAGGGTGTGTTGTTGAATTCGCCAAAACAATCGGAAATGAGCACGATCGAGTCATCTCCGTCATTGCATTTGACCATCTGACCGTTGAAGATATTCAATCCGTAAATGGCAAAGGGGATAAGCAGGGAAATGGACACGAATGCGGCCTGTTGATTCAGTGAGAAGAAGATCGCTTGCGGATTGGGAGGTTGAGCTTACACTAAGAATCTTCCATCCACCAACTACGATGAGTGAGTGGAACGTATCCCTGGCACTGTCGCTGACGTTAAGTAGGCGCAGAGCACGAAGAGCCTTGAACGCACCAATAGCTCTGGAGACGGCGCCGTCGTTGGCCAGAAGTGTGCCAACGTTGATGAGCAAGGTGATGAGCACTATGCCGTCGATGAATCCCCAAGAGCTACGATAGTAGGCATTCGGCGTGAAGAAAAAGCCGTCCGCGATGACCTTGATTACAGCCTCAATCAAAAAAATTGTGGCAAATGCCAAGTCCGTCCAGACATACCAAAAAGTGATGCTGAACTCGGGGTGCTCTGCTTGGTACTGCTTCTGGTAAAGCGGTGTTGTGACACATGCAATGACGACCATTGCCACGATGCACGCGTAGATGAAAGCTGAGGAAGTGTACCAAGCAAACTTATTCGGCTCGACTCCCTCGAACCTTTCATTCCCTCGGCCAGGGCCTACGATTCTTTGACAGAACCGCCTGATTGGGTTGTTGGGCGTGAAGACAAATAGCGAGTTGTTGTAGTTCGGGTGCCTCGCAAGATAGTCGCGCTGGGCCTTCTTGCGCGCCGAAGTGGCGGAAACTGCTTGCCGTGCCATTTGTCGCGGGTCAAGAGTGTCATTTGGCCCATCGAATCGGAGATTCGAATAGAAAGGATTCGGGTCCTTGCTGCTGAATATGGACTTGAACTTCCCCCACATTGACGATAAGAAACCAGGCCGGACCTCGCCAACATGGTGTGTTTGAGCCCTAGTGGGCGACTGTTCCTCGTTGGGTGTGTCCTGCGGCAATTCTGCGGCATCATCGAGAAACTCATGCACTACGGCATCTTTGAGAAGCATTTCCATCATGGCAGGGCCGTAGTCGAGAGGATCCTTTCTCCGTCTAGCCTTGCCGAATGTAAAGATATTTGACAAGGTGAGGTTGCCAGCAGATTTCCCCAATTCTTTTCTCTGGAGAAAGGCTTTGACCTGCTCGAGGCGCTTCTCATCCTCGGAAACGTCGAAATTCTCCTGAATGACAGCAATGAACATATTGACGAGAATCAGGAACGACAGAATGAACCAGCCAATCAGGAAAACTGCGCCAATCCAGCCTGTATCGTACTCATTCAAGTAAGATGTGACATTATACAGCATGGAGGTCCAGTTTTCACTCGACAAGATCTGGTACATGCCGAGGAAGGAGTTGTACATGGTAAAGAAGGAAACCTCATTGAGGTCACCGCTATCGTTGTGGCTTGGTATCTCGCCTCTGAAGAGCTGAGCCGCCAAGATGGCCATCAGAAAGGTGATTAAGAAGACGAATAGCATCAAGTTGGCAATGCCATTAGAATTTCCGAGGACCATAACAATGAGTTTCCGGGTCATTGGGACAGCCAAGACAAGTCGGTAAACTCGTACAATTTGGAATACCGTCAGCCAGGCATATGTTTCTCCAGAATTCCGGATTGGCGGGATCAGAATGATGGTTGTGACAACGGCAAGACCCATGTCGATCAGGTTACGTTTGCTCCTATGAAAGGAGCGCCAACCTGCAGCGCAACGGATAATAATTTCAACGTCTAGCAGGATAGTGACAGCGACCTCGGCCGAGTCAATGAACCGCTCGCGTTCATCGGACATCTTGGAACTCCTGAAGCACTGAGCCATGAGACCAAAAGCAATGACTGCGATCCAAAGAAGAAAGGTCTTATCGTAAATTCTTTGCAGGGCAGGCACCTTCTGCGGCGGCTCGTCCATGGGCTCCTGAAGTGGTGGCTCCTCGGGAGCTGTGAATGCACTCGCCCTGCTTTCCTCTCGGATAACCTGGAAGGAGGAAGTGATGACCGCAATGAGCAAGTTGACGAGCCACAACATGAGGATCATGATGCCAGCGCCGAAGAAGAGAGCTGCAGGAAGGTAATCGGAGTTGGTCGTGTAGTACATGATGTCGGAGAAGGTGTTCGAACTGATAATAACAAACACCATTTCCAGTGATTGGGCAATATTGTCGAAACTGACAGTGCCGTTGAACGGATTGGCTTGTTGAAGACAGATCGAGCCACGAGGACAAAGGAAGCCTTTACCGGCTTTACTCCCGTTTTTAAAATTGTCCAGGACACCATCGTCTTGCATCAAGACCCAGGGCATGCTCTCTCCGGTGATATTGTTGAGGAATCCTCCACAGAACTGCATGTCATTTGTATAGGACTTATCCTTGTTGGTCGGGTCTGTTGGATCCAGCCAGACGCATTGCCGGCTCAGACTCGCCTTGAAGCTTTGCACTCCAATGATGGCAAACAATATCCAGAAGAATGTGATGAGGAAGGCGACTCGAACAAGCAGCGGTGCAGCTTTTTTAAGACTTCGGAGGATAATCTGGGTATACAATTAGTGGCAGATCTAGTGGACATGGGGGATGTAAGGATTACTGACAGCTGTGCCATTCGTCAAAGCAAGCAATCTCAAAATACGCAAACATGAAATCATCCGGAAGACGTAGACGTGCTCCTCACTTTCGATGCCAGTGATCCTAAGCGCGAAGGAGATCCAGTAGGCGACGACAGCGAGGAAGTCAAGCCGATTGAACGAGTGCCGTAAGAATGCTCGTCGAGCAAGTTGAAACCTCTGCTGCTCCTCAACAGTTTGTGGAAGCGTTTGACCCTGCATGATTGTGAAGGATCGCTGGAAGGCAGAGGGACCGAGGTGGATTTGCTGTCGTGGAGCCTTGACAGATTTTTGCCGCTGAGGCTGGAACAAGTTCCTGTACTGATCGACAACCGCTGCTCGGACTCCCTTCTGACGATCGATGGTGCTATATTCGGAGGCGTTCAGGAGGAAACCGGATACCAATATGCGAGCAATTAACTCGAGTGTGAAGATAATGAACAGCACCAGTATGGCCCAATCAATCCATGTGACTCCCCATGAGGCAGGTCGGGGGTTTGTAAAGACATCTGGAGCCGATTCCACTGCCAAGAGAGTAGCTTGAAGGATGATGAGTATGAGAATGAAGGGCTCAGTGAACGGGTGCACCAGCAGATCGCAGAGCTTCGTCCGGATCGGGTGGTTGGGAGGGAAGATGCCCAATGACTTTCCTTTTAAAGGATTCTGCATCGGCACTCGCGGTAGCAAGGGCGGAGGGGGGTCAGCGAAGACATTTTCCGCATCGGGACCCTTCTCGGGTACCTGAAAGACATTGGAATGGTACGAGGTATCTGTAAACATCTGAGCAGAGTTGTGAAGTTGCTGGCGACGGTCTGGAGCCGGTGACGGAGATCGACTACGAGATGCCCTGTGGTCCACGAGTTCACCTTCACCACTGATATTAACAACGCGCTGAGACATGGCTCTCATGATGGAGCCTGCTCTGTAGAGTGCGCCGGCAGTAGAGGGCGAGCGAGAACGTCGTTGCTCTCCTCCCGGGCTGAGCGTCGCCCCATAGCTTGGGCGTCGACCACCAGGTTCCAAATCATACCCGAGCGATCTCGCATCCCGCGTCCTCGATGGTGCATTGTCGATGTCAGATACTGTCTGAAAACTATCTCTCGGCTGAGCATCCGCCATGTTTGCGCTGAGAGAGCCGGAAATGGGCTGGGCTCTGGACGTGAGAGGCACCCTATCCTCATAGTAGTCCGGGTTCGTTGCCTCATCAAAGTACGGCGAAGGTCGGTCGAGCGAGTCGAGAGACGGCGAGTTCAGTCGAGGGAATGGAGGGGGCTGATTGATATCAGGTGGAAGGGCAAATTGCAGTGCTGAGGCATCGATCGGGGAGTCCGGGCCTCCAGAGCTATTGGACTGGGCGTAGGGCTGTTCCCAATATGTTGAAAGACCGGGTCCATTGGCAGATATCTGCGGTTGGGCCTGACGACCGCGCTGAGATTCGGCTTGGGAGTCTGCCTGCAGACGCTCCCTGCCGGACCCCGAGGACTCGTCTTGCCGCGAGCTCATCTCGTAGGAGTAAGGGTTATTGCTTTGCATCGATGTGGATAGCTTCGAGTAGCGCCTGGATTACCGCTCTTGGTCCAGTCTGTGGATTGCGCCAGGTAGTCAACGAACGGCCAATGCTGTTGTGCGCGAGCAGAGTGCGTGTCTGTCTCTGTGTGCCGATCGAAGAATAGCTAGGCCCACGGATCGCATGTCCAGAATTATTGCAGGCGCAAAATTACGGACATGTCGTAGTACGAAAAAGCGTCGCGCACGACAGGTTTCTTTTATCAGGTATCGAATCGATTCGGATCGTGTCGCAATACTCGGAAGGCCTCGTAGCCCTGTTGCATGGAATACGAATGATCCCCGGTGAACAGCAGATAAAGGGCCGCTCGTAGATGTCTGTAGAGAGGGTTTGGCGTCGTGTTTTCCCAACGCCACCAGTCTGGCACTGTGGGCTCTGTGTTTCCGTCGTGAGCGGGGCGTTTGCGACTTCGCCCGGTGGTCTGCAGCCGTTCTACGAGGGAGGAAAAGGGCGACGGAATGACACCAATGCTGGCAATTGTTTCTTCGTATCGACGTCCCCAGCGAGGTGAGAGTGAAGGAGAAAGTCACACAGGCTTACTAAGGCAGCTTATACAAGGCATATTCAGTGCCTAAGGTAGAGTCGAAAACACTGTGAGGGTACTCAACAGCGGGGGCTCCACAGCCAGCTGGAGAGTTTCTATTCTCGGCTCGTGGCAGCAGGTCCTATACCTACGCGGCTGGCGCGGCAGGGGATATCCCCCGCAAACCAGGTTTGAACGGTACGTCCCTCAGGCAGTCACCTCCCTTCCTTACCTACCTTACCTTACCTTAGCACGCGGGGGTCAAAAGTACAGGCCCGTCCTCTTAGGCTCTCTCATCTATCATCAGTCATCACGTACCCAAAAAAGCTTCAAAGTTGAGTGAAATACCTAGAGTTTAGAGAAAGATCT